TGGTCCCCCCCCCCCCCCCCCCTCACCTGCACACTCGCAAATCTGGGGTACCCGCGCGCACACGCTCTGCCCGCAAGTGCATTGGCTGGTCTACATCAAGAGGATCGCTGCGCCTCAAGCTTCTGTCCAAGCCTGCAATCACCAGCCACATGGACAATCTCGCCAGTCTTGTGAACCACTACACCAGGCAGAACAGGGATCTGCATCAGCAACCAGGCGCACCAATTCGTCTTTCAACCCAGGTACTGGCTACTCGTGTTCGAGCCCCCGGAACAGCCCCGTCAAATTGTTCACCCCTCCCCACTCCCCGCTCTCTCCTCATTCGGGGGTGGTGCTGCCATCCATCATGCACCAGCCTCGCCTTCCTGACGCAACGGCCCTTTTTGCTTTGAGGATAGCTCCATGTTGTCGTCAGCCAGTGTCAGCTGACACTCCTTGCCATCCGCACCAACCGCTGGGATCTGGTATCCCTCTTACCCCACCACAATGAGCTCTTCCAGGCTCTACTGGCAATCCTCGAGCGTATCCAAGCCCGCCAACACCGAGCACTATGGCTTCATCACCGCCAGCCTCTGACTACTGCCGTCCTTGTCCTTATTCAGGTTTGGCGATTTGCTCGGCCCCATCTCGGTCTCTCTTATACCCTCCCCGCAGCGGCTTCTGCTGGGGCCAACATGGCAACATCTGCACACTTGGTGGCCCAAGAGACATGTACTCGGCATACCCAAGCACCTGTGACCTGACGCTTGCGCGTGCTGTCCCATAGACGGCCATGGCCGAGGTGCCCACGCCCCTGCTTGGCCAACAAGCACCTGGAAATCTGACCCCTGATGCTCTGCATACATGGGCCGTCTATCCCAACCTTCTCAAACTTCTTCCAGCGAGAGCCTTGAGTTGGCTTTTGGTCTCCCGGCGTGCCACCCTTGAGCCAGAAACCCTGCGTGCCATCTTGGCCAGCCTGCGCGTGCCCTACTTGAACCTCTGGCGTGAAGTAGGTAGCCTATGTCTTGTTATTGTGCCACTTTCATTCTCATTGAAAGCACAGATTGAAGCCTAAGCCTGAATAAACCAAAAGTTCACCTCTGTGCTATATCAGTTCCTCTCATGGTATCACTACTTGTCTTCATCCCTGATCGTTTCGCACAGTTGGAGCGGCTCTGCTGTCTCGCCTTGCTTCAAGGTCATCCTTCCCGTCCCAACGTGCCCGAGAGCTTTGAGCAAGGCGCTGAGCTCCTTGCGCACTTGGGCGACCTGCTCGGAACGGTGCTGGATGAAGCAGGCCCAGCGCTTTGGGTGTCCGACCCGCAGCCCGCGTGCCTCTGGTCCTGTCCATGTCAAACCTTAACCGAGCTGGCCCCCAGCACAGAGACCATCCCCTCGCGAGGTCTCGATATTTATGACGCGTACGTGGTTGGCTCTCAAATTAGGCGCCCTTCCCGTGCTAGCAATGCCTCCCCTCTGTTAATCCTATCAGCTGTCTTTCTCACTGCCCGACTCGCCACAGCGTTTGCCCTCGACCAAAACAGCTACTATTGCTGCTGGCTTTTGATGCTTACGCCCTTTTATTGGTGCAGAACGGCGCCATCTCGCAGGTCTGAGGCCACAGCTCTCGCACCCGCGCGCTCATCTTTCCCGCGCACCGTAACCACCAACGGGTATAACCTCACCCTTGGTGGCTGCCCTATTGTTGCCAGGCGTTGCAAGTGACAACCGATGCGGCCGTGTGGCGAACCGAATTGGGCTTGGGGCGCCACGTCGTTCCCACAAACGTGCCCCACAGCTGGTTTCAGACTGCCTTGCTCGGTAAGCCCACTCTCCCCTGCAGGTGGCCATTTAATGGACTTGCCTCGAGCCGTGTCCTGACGCGAGAGCCAAACACCACTTGAGTGACCTTAGCACGATCTAGCAGTCTGGCTGCTGGTGTTCATCCCACCAAAGACTTGGAAGCTACCCACCGACCACTGCACCATGTAGCCCCCTCTATGACCGATGAGCCGGAAGCTCATGCTTCGCCGGCACCGGCGGCTCTATCTACCTTTCCTGATGTCAGCCTCCTCGCCTTGGCGAGTCCCGCACGTCAATCCTTACCGGCCACCCCGGCCCCCTGTTCGCCCGCCCTATCTTCTGCCCCCGTCACGCCTGCGGAGCCGATTCCTTGGCTGGTTGGCACACCTCTTGGCCCCGTGTCCCCCGATGCCCTGAGCATTGCAGCTACCCTACCTTCACCCACCGGCTCTAACCCGGACGACCGGTTGCAGCGGCCTGCCGCCCCCGTCTCATCGTCGTTTCTCCGCCGCGCCATATTGGCGCGCACCATATTTCGAGCTGGCCAGTCATCGCACCATCGCACTCTGCGCGATGCCAACTGCGCAGCGCCAGCCACCCCCTTGCATCATCCTCTCCGTCGCGTTCAGGGTCTCACCTATCCCTTGGCAGCTGACGAGAACACTTGCCCCTCCGATGCCAAGCCGTGGCACACATCTGAGCTCGTTCCCGCGCCCTTGACCATGACAAACCTGATGGAGGCACCAGAAGCTGAAGCGCCACGTGATGAGAGTTTAGCAGATATACAAGAGCCTCTCTACATGTCCATGACCCTCCATGGAGACCAGGACCTCCCAACTCGCCGCCAATCGCGACTGGGTCGGGTCTGGTCACGCCTCCGGCATCGTGCTACCTCGGCTGCTTCAAGAAGCAGTGGTGCCCCAAACCTAACACCTGATGACTAGTATCTTCTCTCTTTCTCTTTCTCTCTCTTTCTCTCTCTCTGTGCTAAAAGGATTAGCCTGACCGTCAATACCAGTGAGAACCCGAGTTCTGACCGTATCTTTTGCCCAAGCGCCCAGCCCACCCCAATTCAAGCAATTCGACTCGACATGATGACAGCCATGAAAACAAGTCTGAAACAAACAAAAGACAGGAAAAAAAAGAAAAAAAAAAAAAAAGAAAAGATGTGTGAGCTTGCTTTGTCAACGAACAGCTTGAAGCAGTCATGTGTTTGGCCGTTAAACCCCGTTGTCGGTTTGTCGACAAAAAAAGGCAGTTTTCCCGCCAAAACTGAGTCAGCAACCCTGATTTTTTTTTTTTTTTCTTTTCTGGTTGGCCTTTTTGGCAGTGTGAGGCCGGCAGATGCGGATGTGAAGGAGCGATTGCTTGATGGCCCCAGCTTCCACATGACTTGAAAAGCTGCAATTATCTGCGCCCTCTTCCCAGGCGCCCAAAACGTCAAGATGGCTGCACCAGCCGACGACAATATCTTTCGTATTCTAGTCGCCACGGACATGCATCTGGGGTACGCCAAAAACGACCCGACACGAAGCCTCGACAGCCTTGAAACCTTGCAAGAAGTATTGGAACTGGCCATCGGTAACAATGTGAGCAGATGATTTGAGCTCTTACACCTGAATTCTTTTGGCTTTGCGTTCAAGCGCGCACGGCCGAGTCGCGAACCACCCATTGATCTCAACAGTCATCTGCTCCTGCGGCGTGCCTTTAGGTGGACTTTATGCTATTGGCCGGCGACCTTTTTCATGACAACCAGCCGCCGCGATTTGTATTGCACCAAACCATGACCCTCTTTCGCCAGTTCTGCCTGGGTGACCGGCCCTTGCGTTTCCAGGCCCTGTCCGACCCCACAGATAGCATCAAGACGGCCTTTGGCTACAACTTTGAAGATCCCAATTACAATGTCAGCCTCCCCGTCTTTTCTATCCACGGCAACCATGACGATCCCCAGGGTGTACGTTTCGTGCCTTGCCCAACACCCAACACGCGCTGCCAATGCCATGGTACCAATGGCGTGGGCCCTGGATCCTTGAATCTGGACATTCACAGACCATGCCCCGGCTCTGCCTCGCGCTCCCTCCACGCAGGACGCTGGCCTCTGTGCTCTCGACCTCTTGAGCTCTGCCAACGTGATTAACCACTTTGGCCAAGTCATGGACCTTGACAAGATCCATGTCGTTCCCATCTGCCTTCAAAAGCAAAACACAAAGTTGGCCCTCTACGGCATTGGCTCAATCCGCGACGAACGTCTCCATCGCATCTTCTTGGAACGTCGTATCTCTTTTGCCCAGCCCGAGGGCGACAACTGGTTCAAAATTCTTGTCATCCATCAAAATCGGTCTGTCTGCCCCAAGGCGTTCTCTGCCCTGTCTGCTGAAGATGGGAGCACCCCGCGTCGCGCATGAGCGTCGCCGGGCGGCGCCACCACTTACCTTGCTCGTTGCCGCCGTAGAGTCAAACACGGCGAGAAAAACTACATTCCTGAATCCTTTCTGCCCGCTGACATGAACCTGATTGTGTGGGGCCACGAGCACAAGTGTGAGATTGAGGTCGTCTCTCAAGAAAACCGACCGGCCATCACTCAACCGGGCTCCACCGTTGCCACCGCTCTCAGCGCCGGCGAAGCTGAACCCAAGTCAGCCCCCTACCACGCGACCCTGGCTTGACCTGGGGTGTAAGTCTTCCATGCTGACTGATATGGCTAATTTCTGACCGTGGTAGGCATGTTGGCATCCTGGAAGTTGCGTTGCGGGGCGAGGACCCGTCGTCTTTGCAACCAAAGTATCGACTCAAGAAAAAGCCCCTGCGCACCGTGCGTCCCTTTGAGTTTGCGGACATGGTACTGGATGAGGAGGACGACCTTGGACCTGATTGCACGACAGCCGTTCTCGAAAGCTTTTTGGACTCCAAGGCAAGCTCTCTCAACTTGACATTTATGCCGGGGGGGGGGCGGGGCGTTCTTGATGTTGTTGTGCGCATGCGCAAAGATGAGCTTTGTCACTTGATTCATTGCACGTTTTTGTATTTCAATACCTGTTGCTATTCTCTTCCAATCATTTTGTCTGTGGTATGATCGCAATCCGTTACTGGACTCGACAGGTGCATGAGCTGATCCGGCGGTCGGCGGAAAACTACCAAGCCCGTTTCGGCGACGCAGATGCCATCAAGCTACCTTTGATTCGCTTGCGCGTAGGTGGCGCTGCAAACCACGTCTCTATAGCCCCATCGCCGGCTGTCGTAGTTCATGGTGCACGCATGACCATGCTTCGTACTAGGTCGACTACTCAGGGGGCTACCCGACCATCAGCTCCCAACGCTTTGGACAAAAATACGTAGACAAGGTGGCCAATCCAAAGGACATCCTCCTCTTCCATCGCCGCAAACTGCGCTCAACCAGCAGTGAGTTTTACGAGACTAAGTACCTTGCTGTCCCTTATTGTGGCGTTGCCAGATTTGATGCCTTTCTGCCTGTCGGGAAAATCCTCACTTAGATATTCAAGGATCAGCCACCGACCCCATCGATGATCGACCGCTTCGCCCTGACGCAGCCCAGTATGTGATACCACCCCAGCCGCAAGATTCAACTCGGTGTTTCGTCTTGGCGTGATTGATTTAGCCATTTGACGCTCCTCTTGTTCTCGAACATGTTCTCATGTTGAATTGCTTCTCCGCAGAGTTGCCATCAGCGACCTGTTGCAGTTGGATCGCATGCAGCTGCGAGTTCTCCGCCCGGAGGGTCTACGACGCGTCTTACAGAAGTTTGTGGAGCACGAGGAAAACTCTGCCGTGGCCGAGTTAGTATCGTTCTGGACTCCTCAAGCCTGGCCCAGATCAGGCTGGCCCTTACCCATCTGCTGTCACTCTTGGGCACTTGCAGATATGTCAAGACCGAGCTTATTCAGCAGCGCCACTTGAGTGAGGATGTAAGTATCTTGATCAGCTCCAAGTCAACAGGAGTAGTTTGACGCGATCCCTGCATGGAATACGCTCTCTTTCGCTGGCGGTTGCTCAATGTTGCCTTGCTTGCACATGGCCGTGGTGCTTGACTGTTCTTTTGCACACTCACGGACACATTGCAGTTGCCTGAGGTTGATGAATTACGACCTGCCGCTCTCGAGGATCCCCCACCGACCTCAGCCGCCGGCTCAAGTCGCACATCACGTGCAGGTACATCGACTCGGGCTGCACCTTCTGGACGAGCGCGTGCGGGTCAAGGTTCAGTGGACACAGCTGCAGTAGTGGCGCCAGCACCCACCCGCTCGCGAGGGCGGACTTCTTCCCGTTCAGCACAAGCTGGTGGCACACGAAACAGTATCAATGCTGCCCCGCGCCAGCGAGGCGGCTCTCGCGCTTCAGCTAGTTTGACGGTGCAACGAGCCTCGGATGCGACGCCTATGTCTGCCAACGATGCAGCACCCATCTTTCAACGAGCTGCAGCTCGTCAGGTCAGTCAATCCCCTCTTTCCAATCTCACACTAGGAGCCAGAGCATGTCCAGATCTTGCGCGTAGAAAACTGCCTGATCAATTGCTTGCATCTTGCTCATCTGTTCCTTGTGGCTTGTTCGTGTGGTCTCAATGGCTTATTCGCTGGGACAGCGCCGTCAACCCGTTGAGAAACGCGGCGCTTCTCCCACCTCTCATGGAGCGACATCAGATGATGCCATGACGACCCGCCATTCAGACGTGGAGGATGATGAAGACCACATGGACTCTGACGACGCAGCTTCACTGGCCCCGAGTGCCGTGACGCACGTGACGGATATAAGCCAAGTGTCTCGCATCGGGTAAAACAGTCTTGACTGCTTGTATGTGCGGCTGCCTCGCATCCTTGATTGAGCTGATTGTTTATTTGGACGCGTCGCTGCACGTACTTATTGCAGGGCTTCAACCCAGTACCTGCGCACCCAAGGCAAACGTGACGATGGCTTGCTTGATCAAGTATGTTGTCTTTCTTTCCCCCTCCCTCTTCTTCTCCAGTTTGTTGGATGAGATTGTCGCTCGATTGGCTTGGGACGATCCGGAAACATCACTTTAAGTTTGGGGTGATAAGCATTCCATCTGCCCCCACTCATTGAAGAAGACAAATCAAAAAAAACAGGCGGGCACGCTGACCGCATCATCACAAGGCAGAACCAAAGATTGAGACTATGGGAGATTCAATGCTGCATGGAAACCCAAGGCTCCGCGCATTCATTGCCTATTGTCGCTGCCTCACTTCTCAAACTCCAAAGACTCACTTGCTTCGGGCATTTGCCACAGGAGAGTGACGACGAGGACTATCAAGCAAGACGCCGCAGCCGCAAGCGCAGCAAACGTCGTTAAGAAAAATTGAATCAAATTGACCTGGCCCGACGCGAGCACTGCACTTTGAAGCCTGTTTTGAAACAGCAACTGAGGTGGCGTGGCCTTCTCACGCAGGAAATTGTAACAGGATATCTGTTGCGACCTCCAAGCTGTTTCGAGAGATGCGCAGGGCCTTTGCGGCCGCCTCGCGTTCAAACCCCATATTCTGCAGCTCAAGCAGCAAGACCTCATCTGGGGCCACTCCAGCGACGCGTTGATCCCCGGTCGAGACAGTTCGGCTGGGCAATGTCGGGTGCAGCAGCGTGGTCAGGAGAACAAATGGCTGTAGGCCCATAAAGAAAGAGATACATTCCAAAGACCGGGTGGCAGTAGTCCAGACAGCTCAAGCCAAGACAAGGGAAGGGATAGCCCGGCAACCTACCGTGGAGGTGTTCCCTGTGACGCAGAGGGAACCGGGGGCGGACGTCGGTGATGGATGGGTACGCCTGCAGAGGCAGGTCGCGGTGGCGGAGCGGCGATAGAAGCTACAAGTTGAAAGCGAGGACGTTGATGAGGGTGAATGAAAGTAGAAAGGAGAGACGCAGAGAAACACACACACAAGAACACGCGTACGAAATGCTATACCTTGAGCGATGACAGCATCAACATCTTCGAGATCGTTGTCAACCTCGCTATTGTCATACAGGCCCTCCAAATCGCCATCCAGATCTACTTCATCGTCGTCTTCACCCTATATGATGGGCGGCTGGTGAGAAAGGCGGTGACGATGGGAAGAGCAAGGCGGGGCGGGTATTCGACAACAACACTGCCGCCTGGCACGACGCAGAAGCTCTGACAGGTGTTGCCACATGAGTAGATCTAGGGCAAGACGTACAAAGGGATTAAAAGGCTGGATGGTGACGCTTTCCGTGCTAAGCACTTGTTTGCGGCAAAAGGGGCAGGTTGTTGCGGAGGAGGTTGGTGTATTGCTGGAATCAATCCACTTGCGCAAGCACTGGTGGCAGAGCAGGTGCCCGCACGGATCAATGCGTACGCTGTTGCACAGAGGTACCCAGGCACGCAAGTGAACGGTAAGAGAAGATGGGCACGCTTGAATAGGACATGCCAAGGCGCGACAGGTGATCTGGATGGCCAGGTTGCGAGCGGGATCCCACAAAGCGAGGCGTGCCTCTTGAAGTTGGAATTGCAAATTTTGCACACTTCAAAGGTCGTGTCAATTTGGCAGTAAATGTCGTATTGTTCTTGCGTCACCTGGTGTCATCAGGAGAGCAGAAGAGATGAGGTTGGCGACTTGAGTTGGCTGCCGGGTGCAGCTCGTAATAATCTGCAGTGCAGTCAAGTTCACACCTTGATGCGCTCTTGTGGTGTCACGCTGATTTGCTGTGCAATGTCTGGGTTGGCATCCTGTGCAATTACGTCCATTCAGTGGGGTGCCGTGAGCTGCTGGATGCAAACACTCGTCAATGCGCGCGGATTTTGCGTGAGACCTCTCACCTCGCCGTTGGGATACAAAAAGGTGCCTTGCTCGGCACCGTCAATCAAGGCCTGATACAGGGACTTGCTCTGGGGGATGGTCTGCACAATCTGGCCGTCTTTGGCCACAAACCCGATGGCCCATTGACCGAGGCGAGTGCAGCTCAGGCGGAAGACGTAGGACCCAGGCTTGTGGCGGTGATTGCTCAGGGTGGCTTCGACCTCATCGTAAGTGATGAAGGCTTGGTACGCCGGGTGGCGGATGGCAATCAGGCTCCAGTTGTTGATGAGCTGCTTCCATGGCTGGAAGAGGCGCGTGAAAACGTCAAACTCAAAGGCTGAGATGTGATCGTTCTCCGTAATGTCCTACATTAACACGGCGCGCAGAGGAGCACACAAGGGTGGGTACATCAGAGGTACGCGCCGAAGGAGGGGGGCAGGTGGGCAGAGGCGCGTCCACTGACCATGGTCTTCTTCAAGGCAGCCTCCTCTGGTTCGCCAATTTCGTGCACCTTCTTCAGCTGATGGAGAAATTCTCCCCATGGCACGATGGAGCTGGGCATGAAAGCAACACGGTTGGTGCAATGAGAACGAACAACCAATATTCAGCAGAACGCTTGTGGAGGGTTACCCAGGGCAGCAAGATGTGACATCAAGGCTCGCTCGTCAAGAGGGTGCATGGGGCACACCGATGAGGGAAGGCCGCGTTCCAGAACTCGCGGGCACCAATCTTGACGATAAGAAAGTCTGCATCAAGCTTGGCGTCCTGAGTCAGGCTTTTGAAGTCGGCGAGCATGTGAGAGAAGACGAGGGTCAACTGCGTGCAAAGCCGAGGTCAAAGGGCAGGTGAGGGTACATCTTTGGTGTGAAGCAGCATAAGAGAGTGCGTGCCCTGCTGGTGAGCCACACGAGGGTGTGGGTATGGACCAACCCGATTGAGTTCACGCCGATCTTCAGATTGCTCATCCTCCATGCGATCGCCGGCTTCCTTGAAAAGGTTGCTCGCCCGCTTGCAGTGCGACAGGAATTTGATCAGGAAGATGGAGACGAAAGCGTTTTGTCGTAGGGCTTCGAGGGGATTGCGCTCAAAGAGGGCGTGCAAGTGTTCGCGGGTGTCAAAAAGTATGCCTTGCAGGAAGGGCGGACTGTTTTTAAGATTCAGGCGCGGATTCTACGGCCAAGGCGACGTCCCCAGAGGGCGGGGCATGACCAGGTGGGATCAGGACGATGCGGGGGGAAGGGGGCGTTGACCATGCCAAAAGGCCAACTTTTGGCGAGCGAATCGCAAGAGTAGGCGCAATTGCGGGTGTGATCCCGCGTGAGTGCGGGTGTGATCCCGCGTGAGTTGGGTGCGGCTTTGTGGGCGAACGCGTTGGTTGTACCTGACACAGCGTGATGAGTCGTTCGGTGTTCTTGTCAATGCGCAGCAGGGTCTTGGTGTCAATGGTGCTGTGATGGCAAGCCACGATTTGCGCGCGCGCGTGCGTTTCAAGTCATGAGCGGGCTGGTTCGGCATTCGGTTGGTAACCCCGCCCGCCCTCTCGAAGGGAAAACACCTACTTTTGCCAATGGGCAAACGGCGAGGCCTCAGCCTCGTCGCGCTTGAGCTTTGAGCGAATCCATTGCTTGGCCTTGGCCGCAGACTGGCTGATGCTACTAGTCCGCTGCGCCATGCCGCTGTACGGCGCGCGTGCGCGGGGCGATGATATGATACTTGAACCGAACAACCCCCGCTGCCCTCTTACCATCAAGCAGCAGCACAGAGAGAGAAGAGAGAGAGAGAGAGAGAAGAGAGAGACAGCAAGAAGAGAAGAGAGAAGACCGCGAGAAGAGGAGAGAAGAGAGAAGAGACACAGAGAGATACAGAGAGACACAGAGACACAGAGAGAAGAAAAGAGAGACGCAAACACAAAAACAACAAAAAAGGCGGAGAGGGACAACAGCACACAGAATAAGCAAAACAAGTGTAAGTATTATACTTACGAGGGGCACAGGGGCAGTAATTTAGATTATGGGCACATGCCTGTGTTCTCGGAAGTTAACAAGCGCGTCTTCTTCCATTTTTTGGGGGGTGTGTGGGGCGCAAACGGCAGCCGAGGGCTTGTTGATGAGAGGAGAAGGGACGGACCACTGCAGAGAGCGATCCAGGACCGTGCTAGTATCCAGCTCGGAGGATACGGATCTACTTTCACAAGTCTCATCCTGTAGATTGTGAGGTCAGCCGCATCTCGTCGCAGTGGCAGTGGTTCACCTTTGGATCTCATCGGCTTTTGCTGAAACCAACAGACCCTGCTCCGCGCTCCGTCTGGACTCTGGCACAGCGTCAAGAACCCGGTGGGCCCTCTCCCCGGTGCCTAAAAGATACAAGATGGCATCTGTTACGGCCAGCTCCATCTACAATGAAGATCTCATGCGCCGCGCCCGCGAGCAAGCCCATGCCATGAAGGAGTTGTCCGGCTACACCCGCTATGATGTCATGCGCGAACTCGGTGGAAAGTACGTGCCCAGGTCCTTTTGCTTGCGTACTTCTGGAGCAGGATCCCTTGCCCTGCCCCCTTGCCCCTGTTCCTTGTTTTGACCTCCAACAAACTTGAAATAGGAGTGACTTTAGCGATTGCCTCCGCCGCTGCTACATGAGCCTCATGGATTTTCGTGACCTGGATCTGGTCTCAGCGATGCGGTACGCACGACAAACCCTCCGATGCCGCGAATCATCACCTCGCTGTGGGAACTCGCCCAGTGAACGCGCGTTGTGTCAAGTCCCATGTTCACCTGCATTCCATCCCCATCGCCTGGCCTCCCGCCGTGCCTCGATCCATCTTGACCACAACGCCCCTCATGCCATGGCCTTCCTCAGGGTGTTGCTGCAGCGGATCGTTCTCACGGGTGAAGCGGCTGAAGTGGATCGCGTCCTTTACGGTACAAAGTTTTCGTGTGATCCTGGCATGGCTTGTTGCATGGGGTCCCTGACATGCTCGGGAATATTGCTGCCGGCTTGCGCCGTCCTCTGACAATGTCTTGTTCAAACCGTCGTGCAGCTTTTACAGAGCGCTACCATGAGCAAAATGAACCCGATTGCACAGCTGACGCCATGCATGTGCTGGCTTCGGCCACCGTTCTCCTCAACAGTGATCTTCACTCCCGCAATCGAGTGCGTCGGGCTCGCTGTGCACCGGCATTCGCTGGCGCCTCATCCCCAGTCTGCGAACTGGCTTTGCTTTGCTCATTTGCCATGCCACGTTGGTACCAACAATACTGGGGACCCATCGCAGAATGGCAAGCCCATGACCTTTCGTGCCTTCACCCAGAACCTCAGTGGCATGATGGATGGGGCTGACTTTCCCATGGATACCCTGCGCAAGGTCAGGTCCATCTCAACGCTACACTCGACAAAGCCTAGTCTAACCTCTGCGACGACCCGGCATAGGTTTATGACAGCATCCGCAACGACGAGCTGATTCATCAGACGGACGACGTCCAACAAGCCGGAGGTGAATACCGTTTGCTTACGCCTGCCCGGCACTGTCACAATCCCCTCCGGGCTTCGGGTGTGTTGCGCGCGCCTTGCTGGACTTGACTTTTCGTTTTCTTGCTCCTCGTATCCCCTGGCAGAGCTGGATCCCGCTGCACGTAGCATTACTGCGGTGCGTACAAAGGGCAACTGATTGGATGAGACAACTATTTGGCTGGCTGCTCGAGTCCCAGCCTCACGTTTGTCTATTTATCTTGCCCTCCCAGGCGCCGAAGCGCCCGGACATGTTCCTTCGCATTTTCTACTCGGATGAGCCCATTGGCCCAGCCAAGCTGACCGATTTTGTAGTTCGGTACGTCCATGAACCATCCGTCGTGCTTGTCATAAGCGCCGACACTCTCTGGAATAACAACGCATGGCTGTAAACATTCGGAAATGGTGCAGGAAGGACCTCACCACGATTGGAGGCACGCGCTGCCGCCGAGGCCAACGCGGTTGGCACCAACTGTATGCCGCTCTTCATGGCCATCGTCTCGTCTTTCATGAACCCAAGTATCAGGTCCGTCACCCGCGCCCTCTTCTGGCCTCTAGCCAACAAACAAACGCGAGTCTCACTCATGCGGCCAACTTGCAGCCGCTGTTGCCCTCTGATTCAACGCGCAACATGTACGACGCCATCAACATCCGTCATGGGCTGGCCACGTGCGTAGCGCGCATTGGGAACTGAAATCAACCAAACCCGTCCCTCCGCCCGTACCCACGCCAGCAGCTTACCACTGGACGTGACTCGTGCCTGGTTTGACACACCCACCACGCAGCGCGGCCCTGGACTACGAGAAGCGGGATTTTGTCATGCGCCTGCGAGTGGGCTCTGGCCAATCGCTGCTCATGCAGCTACCGTACGTTTGGGGAGAGAACAGCCTGGCCTTGAAGTGTTGCCGGGTTGTTGGGATGCTGATGAGGCCTGGCCTGTGTGAGGGGCTTGTCGTTCCTGGCATGCATCTCAACCTTGTGCTGGCCACCGACCCCGTGGTTTGTGCTCGGCGACTCGCTCTTGATGCTGGTCCTCCTAGATCCGTCGATGCACTCAAGGCATGGATCAAGGCTATCAATCGGGTTGCCGCATTTGAGTCGGCGCCTCCCTTGCCGGCTCCCGTCACCGCAGCTCGACATGGTTTTCGGGTACGTCTGCTCGCATGCTTTTTTTGAGTCGAGTTTTTGGTTCATTGCATTACGTTTGATGGCCGCGAACGCTCAAACAATGATGTTGACTGGTACTTAGACGCCCATCATGCCTGAGTCGAAAACAACGGAGACTCCTATTGAAATGCGAGCACGCTATCGTAGCAACATTGCCCGTACCCGCAAGCAGCTCCAGTACGATAAGAACCCATGGTGCCGCTGCGTCATCTCGCGCCCATGCTTGCTGATCGCATCTACCCGTCCTCTTCCCCTCCCCGCTTTCTGTTTTCTCCTCCGTCCAGGACGCATCGCGAGCGCGAGCAAGAGTTTAAAGCGGAGGGTCGCACCACCTTGGAGGTATGCCCAGTTGAACCGATGTGGGCCGGCGCGGGTCGCATAATGAGACTCGCACCGTCAAATCCTGGCACTGACTTCAGACCTCTTTGCCATTGATAGTATTGGCGTGACAAGCTCGACTTTTTGGAATATGACCTCCAACGGCAAGAGACGTACCTGCGTCTGCTCGAAGACGAGCTGGGCGCAGCAGGCCAGCTGGCCTCAGAGGCTGAAGCTCCGTACGTGCCCGAGGTTTTTAATCGGCCTCGCTCCAACTCGCTTCATCGATATGGCTCCACAAGTGGCAGCGGGAACCATCTGACTCGCCTGCATATCGGGACGGCTTCTCTAGGGATGAGACGGTGACGTTTCAGTTTCGGCACGTGAGCGAGGCGCGGAGCTCTGCCAAGTCGCAGGCCCGATCAACGCTACGCCTCCACTCCTCCGATGACAGCGACCGTCTATCTTGGGTGTAATGAGACCTTCTAGGGGCTCCGGGGCTCGCCCCGACTCTTGTCCCCATTGGCCTTCATCGCCCCACATGCCACATAGGGTTAGAGCCAAAGCGAGAAGCAAAGACACTTTGGCGCGGCGTGTCTCTCTGCGCCCCATGACGCACGCGGTGTGCACACAACGTATGGCCACGTGTGCAGATGGTAGCATGCTAGTTGCACTCTGCTCGGTGCACGAGTGAATTGATCAGTTTTATCATTGCCTCCTTGACCTTGCTTGTCTTCATGGAGAGGATGCAAATCCGATGTGATGAACATTTTAACATGCAAACTTTTTTTTTTTCTACTCTCTCTTTTGTTCCATTGAATGTTGGGGTGTTGTATATTGCCGTCACTGCTCAAGTTTTTAAACCCATAGAAGGCATGGCATCTATCAAACCATTGTCATAACGTTCAATTAACTCGACTTTGAACTGCTGCGGTGAGAATCCCGAGTCTCACACGCTGTACTTGAGTTCACTCAAGCGCTTCCCCGCCTTGCTCGAGTCCCAAAGCCAAGACTCGTGCACTACAATGGCATCTGGGTGCGATTTAACGGCATGCTGCACTGCAGGGGGCCACTCATGAGACTTGCGCGAGCCCACGACAATGTGTGACAGCTCGTCGTCGGCCAACGTGACCACCTCGCCATCAAAGGCAATGATGGCTCGTCGCGCCCGGCCAGCATCGCTGCAACCGTCGACGAGGCAGACGCAACCAGAGAAGACGTCTGGGAGTGCATCCACGGCCATGCCCCCGGTTCCTGAATCCAGACTGGAGTGCGTGCCTACACCAACCACATACGGTTATATCGGAACGGTGGTGAGAAGGCCAACTGAAGCACGTGCCCAACCGCGAGGTCACCTGCACGAGGGCATGATCCAGTCAGGGAGGTAACAACAGGTAACGCGCTTGCCTTACCGCTGTTGTGATCATCTGTGTGCCCCTTGGACCGCTTGTGCGCGGGTGGGCCCGTGAGATGGGGTGCAGGTTCATCGGGTTCAGTGTCCTGATCTTCCTCAGCAACAAAATCGTCGTCCTCACTCTCAGCCTCGCTGTGGGGCTGGGCAACCCCGTCCTCGTCCTCGTCCTCGTCCTCCTCCGCGTCCTCGTCGCGATAATTGGGGTAGTCTGGGTCGCCGGGGTGACTAAACTGGACGCGGTGCTCTGGCCGGCGGCGGTAGCAGGCCGCACCGTAGTAGCAGGGCACGCGACCACCCGGAGTGCGGCGGGCGCGTGTAGAGCGTGGGCGCCGGCCCACGTCCCCCACGTGGGGGGCCTCGCCATCTGAGTCTAGCTCAAAGTTATCGGCCGCGTCCTCGTCCTCATCCTCATCGAGGTCATCGTTGATGAAATCGTCGTTGAGGTCGTAATCGTTGGGCTCGTCCTCGTCCTCGTCCTCATCCGGGGCGCGTCGGCGGCACGAACGTGGTTTGGGCGAGGTGGCCGTGGCCGTCATTGTGGCAAGCGTGCGCTTGGTGCGCTTGGGGGCTGGCTCGGGGCGCCGAGCGCTGCCAGACGAGGCGGGGGGCGCGGCGGCGACAGCTGCCGACACCTGATCCGAGGTGGGAATGTTGCCCGAGGTGGGGAGGTTGGGTAGGAGCTCCGAAGAGGCTTTGGAGGCCTTGAAGAGGACCTTGAGCTCGCTGAGGGAGGTGGCGGTGTCGGCGTTCTTGTCCGAGCGCACGCGGGCAATGCGAGGAAAGCGGATGGAAATGCCATCGGCCGAGTGCGCGCGGCTTTCGCTGAATTCGGCCCCGGCAATCTCCAGGATCGGGGCTTGGTTGGGGTCGCGAATGATGTAGTCGGGCACGAGGCGCGACTCATCGATGCGCAGCCAACCCGGCACCTTGCTGCGGTCCTGGGACACCTTTTGCATGAGCGGCAACATCTTGCGATGGTAGGCGTCCACCTGGGCATCGTCAAACCCGTTGCCGCACTTGGTGACGGTGCGCCAGACGCCGTTGTCATCGCGACAGCCCATGAGGTAGACGCTGAGCAGACCGCCCTTGCTGCCGGTACCAAACCAAGCTCCGAGGAGGGCGAGGTCGGCCGTGTCGGCCATGGCCCCCGACTCGAGGTAGTCTTTCTTCATCTTGAGCCAATGGCGCTTGCTGGGCTCGTAGACGGAGTGGCGGTCCTTGAGGACAAGGCCCTCCAGGTTCTCGCGCATGACCTTGGTCATGAGAGCGCGCAGCGTGGGCAGGTCCGGGATGGCGGTTTGTTCCGAGTACATAATCTCGTTGTGCACGCTAACCACGTGGGAGGTCAGCAGGCGACGGCGCTCCTCCATGGTCTCGTCCATGAGATTGCGCCCATTAAAGTGCAAGATGTCAAAGATGAACAGACAGGGTTGAGCATTGGTGAAGCGCGTCTTCTTATGCACGCCCAGCGTGCCGAAGGGTAGGGGCTTGGACGTGGTGGTGTCCACCATCAGCACCTCCGCATCCAGAATCATGGTATGTCCGTGTGGACAGGCTTGGCGGATGCTTTCTCGGAAAAAGGAGATCTTGTGATCCTGCACCTCTTTAAGGCTGCGGCTGAAAAAGCGAAAGTTGTCGCCCTGCTTGTGCACTTGCACGCGCTCGCCATCGTACTTGATCTCGGCCAGAATTCCATTGGGGCACTAGCAGACGCGAAAAGAAAAGCGGGAAAAAAAAAAAAAGGTTAGCGAGGTGCACGGAGGAGGGAGGGGTCAATCACCAGACCAGTCGTCCACAACCACACAAATACAGGGAGGAAGAGGAAGGGAGGCCCGCACACAACTGTACGCGCGAGTCAAAAAAAAGTACCTTCTGGACAGCCATTTCGTAGGATCGACAGGCTTCGGCCAGCATGGGCTTGACGGGGGTCATGAGGCTGGCCCGCACGCTAACATCGCGCTTGAGGCTTGGACCGTGTTTCAGGCAGCGCTGAACAAGAGCATAAAGGTCGTTGGATGCCTTCCATGCCTCGTAGGCACCCGGGTTGAGGGCACTGAGGATAATCTTGGAGCCGGCAAAGATGCGCAAATCGTGCTTGATGTGGCGCACGACATAGCGCAAATCCTCCGTGGTCATGCGAGGCAGGTGCTGCCGAAAGACGCGCGTCTGTTCATCAATAGTGGTCCGGTTCTCGAGTTGCCGCAAGAGGTTCTCCACGTCCTCGAGTGAGAGCGTGCTCTGGGCTGCCGGGCGCAGGCCTTGGCTGGTAGCAAAAAAGCTGGCCATTGTGTCTGACACGTCCCCCTGCTCCAGATGCTCCGTCAGATCCTGCTCACTGGTATGGAAGAGGGCGCTAAAAATCTTGACGAGCTGCTTCTCCTTCATGTTGTACACGCGCTTGGGGTGTTGGGGCAGTAGATGGCGCATGACCAGGTAGAGGTCACCAGTAAAGCCCTGGCCCGATGTACCTTTCGTAATGAAGGTGCGAATGATGTTGCCCTTGTCCGTGTGGCCGGGATGGGCCTCGATATCTCGGCAGAGCTCCTGAAAGGCTGCAAAGCTGTTGTCTCGCCCGCGCCCTGAGCTGTGGTATGGACCCGTGGCTGAGAGGGCTGGCCCTGTGGCGGCCGAGGAGACGGCCGAGGCCGTGGCAGCGGCTGACGAGGCCGCGGCGTGATGGCGTGCGTGCCCAAAAGGGAGTGTACCCTGTTTGCCTGGTTGACTGGCCGTGGCCGTGGTCGCGGCCGCTGGACGCTTGGCCTTGGCACCACCCGCACCACCCGTGCCCTTGTTGGCATAAGCCTCGACAAAGGCGGCAATCTTGGTTTTGAGGGACTGTTTGTCCTCGGCGCTCAGCTCGGCGTAGTTTTTGATATCGCTCAGCGTCTCGACCTTGGCCGTCGTCTTGCGCGATCGAAGCTGTCTGTGCATGTGCAGCAGCAGAAGAAGAAGCGAGCAGGGTGTGGAGGTGCAATATGAGGAGGAGGTGCAATGTGAGGAAGGAACATTTGGTGGTTGCTTGGTCGCCAGTGGTCTCCATCGTCAATCAATCAACGCATCCATCCACTGATGTGATCCAGCATAGCGTCACTTACGCTTGAAAGAAGCACTCGTCGTGGTACCAGGTGGTCATGTCGGAGTCATCGCTAAAGGGACTGGTGGTGACTTTGCCAATCCGCAGCGCACCCTTGTCAATTTTCTGCTTGCATTCCTTGCAGCCCGAGCGCCCGGTCTTGGCGTGCTCGGCCACAAACTCGGACATGGTGGCGGCTCTGGCGTTGGTGCCAGCAGCGAAGCCACGCACCCACAAACGACTAGTGCTGGGCAGCGTCGACCCACGGAAAGGGTGCAAGCTCGACTGCTTCACGCACAAACCCAAAGCCGAGCTGAAGCGTCGAACAGGAGGTAAAACGGGTGATGTCGAGAGTGCTGACGCGCTCACGAAGAGCCCCACCGGACGCTGGAAGATGTAGCCCACAGACGCCCAGCGCATCCTGCCAATGCGGTATCCACTTGACATGAGAGCTGACTGACACCAGAACGGAAACTCACAGCCCGCCTCGCGATCAACATCAACAACACAGAGCAGCAGCAGAACAAATGGACCAGACCAAACCCAAAAGCAAAGAAAGCGAAGAAAACCGGATCCAATGGGATCAAATCAGGCTCAGCCCCCCAACACAAAGCCTACCTAGTGCCGCACTACAGATTGGCAGCAGCAGCAGCAGCAACAGCCCGGGGTCAACGAGTTGCCCCCGCCCCGAGAAATGGCGTGCGTGGAGTCAAAGAGATCCGCAAAAAAATAAAAATGCTGAAAAATTGAATTGCGAACCCACATCTCTGTTTTTCTCTCCCTCTCAAGCTCTCTCTCTCTGCTTTTCTCTTTCTTTCTCTTGCTCTGCTTTTCACTTTCTCTCTCTTTCTCTGCTTTTATCTCTCTCTCTCACGCACTCTCTCTCTCTTTTCAGAAAAGAGGAACAGGTCGTCCGCTATTTATAGAAAATGGGCTTAATTTGGGATCAAGAGAAAAAACCTGTTGTGACAAGTTTACCGCCAATGCCAGCAGCCGCGCGGGCTTTAGGGCAGAATGAGCTTGGCGTACACGCCACCCACCACGGGTCGGGCAAAGAACCCGTTCATGCTGGCATCCGCCGTGATTGAATCGTACAGATCAGTCATGGGCACCCGCGAGCTGGAGGCGTTGTAAGCGTCAAAGGTGGGCTCAAACAGGGCTTGAAAGTCAGACTTGCTCGAAGCAAAGCATGATGCCCAGGCCAGCCACTCAAACATGACCCAGGTGTGGCGTTCGTCCAGAGGCGTGCCGTACTGGTTTTGCACCGAGCGATAGTAAGCAAACTCATTGCTCGCCACCGTCGAGTAATTAAAAGGTCCTGCGCCACCCATGCCCCGCAACCCCACGCCGTGCCATGAGATCTGACCTCAAAACAAGCTGCCCTGCAAGCCGCCAACCCGTCCAGAGACTCTTTCCCGTGACGCCCAATTTTCCGCCCACCCATCCTTTGCAGTTTTGCGCCCCTGGAACCTGGCTGAACACATGCACACACAAACACACGACACACGACACACCTTCCATGTCCAAAATGTGTTGCCACAAGAGATTGTACTTGAGTGAGTAGGTGCCCGTCATGTTGTACGCCAGGCGATAATGGGGCGTGGGCTCCGTGTCCAAAGCCTGCGTCTCCCAAATGTGGGCAAAGTAAGCCGGATATGGCGCGAGAGCCTCGCAGTTGGGGGCCCCCACCAAGTGGCACAGCTGAACGTAGGCCTCCAGCGCCACAATGCCCTTGGCCGCCAGATTGGTGTTGTTCGCCAGGCGGCCCGTAAAGTCATCCGTGCACAGCCTAGAAGGTGGCGCAAAAGCGCATGCACCGTGAGTCTCTGGCAACACATGCGTCTGCGCAGTGCTGAGAAACGGTGGGGTATCGCCATCACCGTCTTCACAATTCCGAGAGCTTTGAAAGCAAAGCAACACAGACACGCACTGGTTCGCCGGGTAGGGCAGGCTGGCGTTGAGATATTCGGCCCAGGTGGTGAGCAAGTCCCAGTGTTGCGGGTAGAAAAAGTCGGCGCTCTTGGTCCGCTGCACCGTGGCCAGCAACATCAAAAACATATTGCCTACCAGGCGGACCCAAACCCGCAGCAATGCATCAGTCCAGCCAGCCAGCACTGCCCCCGCCCCCCAATTCCAAGCACTGTACCCCTCTCCCCACACTCGCTTGCCCGTGCTTGTTCCATACTCATCAAACATGAACCGAGCCAACCTACCCGTGTTCTCCATGGGCATGGGCTATTGCAACGCCAACCAAAGGCCAGACATGAGGGCTGGCCCAACCGACACGAGCACATTTTTGGTCTTGGTCCCAGAGAAGCATGCTGAAGCGTGCCAACAAACCTCTTGACTGTCGGTGGTGGCGTCCGCAATGGGAAAGGTACCCAGCTGATGAGGGCTGTAGGGGCTGCCGTACGGCGTGTTCGTTTCATTGTTGGCATAGGCCAGCACGGGCTCCAGCAGCAGTGCCAAGAGGCTCGCATTTGAATACAGCAACATGGGCGAGGATGGGAAAATGACATCCTAACACCCCCAGGCAGGCAGGTGAACACGTTTTGAGAGACCAAGCAAAAGAACCTGCTCTCCACCAAGCATGGCATCCCTCGATAGCCTGGCTGCAGACAGAGCCGGGCATTGCATGGCGCATGGGATTCCTTCCAAAAAGGACGTACCATGGTCTGCATGTCACCGTTGGTCGAAATTTCCTTGAGAAAGAGCCAGGTGGTGTTGCGGTCGTCAGCCCAGACTAGTTGCGTGGCGGCGAGCACTTGTCGGAACACCAGCGTTGTCATGACGCTGTACTTGTCACCGCCGGCCTCGACACTGGCCGCCCGCACCGCTGCATCGGTCGATGCGCCAAGTGCCCGGATGGCTGGGTAGTCATGATCCGCCTGTTGCATCACGTCGAAAATGTTGTCAAAGAGCCGAGTCCAATAGCCGTGATACACATGACCGTAGTAGTTGACCTGCGGGACGAGGCGAGCCAGTGAACCTGTGAGGCAAGGCGACGAGCGAGTGTGCAGAGCAATAGCATCGTCGAGCTACGGCCGAGGTCCGAAGTATATACGCACTGTGGCAACGTCATCGTAAGCAATCTGTAGAACAAGGGATGCGGGATTCGCTGTGGCCGTCGTGGCCCAGGCTGCACCTACGACAGGCATGTCGTCTTGGGCGGCGCGAGGTTGCCGGTTGTCCGTGGAAGAAGGCAGGGCACCCGTGGTATAAAAGGCCCGGCGTTGTTCCTCACCACCCCCAGCGCGGAAGGTGGCCGAGGTATTGACCCGGGTACCGAGGTACAGGTAGCCCCAATCGCGGCCAATACGATCGCCTTTTTCGTCCAGTGCTTGCTACAGGGGCAGCACATAGGCCATGTGAGTTGCGGGCGGAGATGAAAAGATGCGGAGACGACATCCCAGCACAGGTGAGGGAACACAAAAAAATGGGATCATGGAAGAAGCACATGCGCAATCGAAAAGAGTCTGCTTCAAACAAGATGACATGTGACTGGTCCGGCGGACGGGCGGGCAGCATTCGGGCACCTGGTGAGCGTGTGAGATTGAAACGCCTTGAACACCGCTTTGCTGGAATGTACTCCATTGCACTTGCTGATCCACCGTGTTAACCACGTGCTGTGCCGTCATGTCAAAGTAAACCTATCGACACCAAGCCACCCGTATGCGTTGGTCAAATTGTTGAATCGGATATGCGCGTACGTAACTGGCCTCGTTCAACAGGTTTGTAGACCATCTTGCACAAGCCAGTAGGAAATTTAAAAAGAAGAACAAAAAAAGAAAAACTGCCATCAGAAAACGCACCTCAACCGCGTGCGACTGGGCCGCGAGACTAGTGACAGTGAGGTCCACGTAGGAGACGGGACGGGCCATCAAGTCGGTGCGGGAGGGGAAGAGCATGGTCTGAAAGACCACCTCGAGTGACACGCGACCCTTGGGATCGGCGAAGTGGACGCCTGTGGCCGTAGCATTGATCACCACGTCTGTCTGGGTCATGGCAGCGGGGCAGTCTGAAACGCTGTCAACACCAAAGAAAAGGCAGCAAGCCAAAGCTGTGAGGGTCAGACATATAGAGCCAGGGACAATGGATTTGGACTGTCACATGGACGGGTCTGAGCGCATGATAGGTGCGTACTTTTGGCAGTTGCCGAGAAAGCGGTAGGCATCACCGTCGATGCGCACAAAGCCGGCCATGGCTCGCTCATCACCCTCCCAGTACATGGCCTCCGTGTCCGTCAGCTGGTCAGCGCCCATCCATACTTGCATCCAGGGATCAGTCGTCACCAGGGGAATGGCCGGGGCGCGAAAGGACACCCGATCAGCCTGAGCACCCGTGGCCATCAGGGCCACCACCAGGGCCAGCAAACCATGCGTACGTGCCAACATCCTCCTGGGACGCACAAACAGTCGGGCCAAGCCGGTACGTCAGTTATTTCGCGTGGACGATGGTGTGTGATACATCGAACCCGAGCCCCAAAAGCACGATCGCTGACCCTGCTCCAACAACCCAAGCCTTTCACATGACCCCGATACAGCAACGACAACGACAACGACAATGATGAGGCGGAGGCGGAGAAAGGAGGAAGGAGGAAGGAGAAAGGAGGAAGGAGGAAGGCGCTCAGCCCAGTCAGAGTGCCGTCAATCGAACCTGATGTGTCGGGCACGTTGAAAATGCGAAGCTGCAACATCTGGCTATTGGGCTGCATTTACTCAACATGCTTTCTCTAAGCGACCATATCCATATCCAGTTCCAGATGCAATAAGTTACATCTCATGCTCTCATACTTGTCACTGCGATCGATCAGGTTTGCTTACGTTGTGTTTAGATCTCTCTCTCATCGCTCTCTCTGATCTCTCTCTCAGATCTCTCTCTCAGATCTCTCTCCCCTCCCTCTAATCGCTCTCTCTAATCGCTCTCTCTAATCGCTCCCTCTAATCGCTCTCTCAGATCTCTCTCTTTCAGATCTCTCTGTGGTAGTTGTGCTTTTCCTTTGCGTCTTTGCTCTTTATTTCTCTCTTTCTCAAACCGACCAAACCAATTCATCTCAGATCTAATCGCTATCTCATCTCTCTCTCTCAAACTCTAATGTCAGCAAATGTTACCGTTACATGCTCTGGTCATTTTTCAAGCGGTGGTGGGCAGTGACGCATCCAGATTGGAACCATTGAACCAGACTCGTGGAGCCGAACCCGGTACCATGAGCGATTCAGAGCCAAGGAACAAGCGGCCGCATCGGTTTGCAGATGAATTTGGCCGGTTTTACCCTGACCTGCAAGCTCCGGCCGAATTGCAAGCCGTTTGCGCGCTCTGCACGGAACTCCTCCCATCAGACCCGCTGCACGCTCTGGATGCATTGGACATTGAAGTACGTCCGCCCGGTGATGATGAACCCGCCAAAACTTGTTGGCCCATCTCCTGACTGAACGAAAGGCACCCCTGCTCCTTGCCCCGCCCTCTTTTCACACTTTCCTTTGGCGGAATAGTTGTTGGGCATGTATCGGCTACTCCTTGGTTCTGATGCACCGGGACAACTCCACGCCAACACTGAGGCCCTGCTTCAACTGGCGGCTGAAGATGCCGACTCGGACGACGAGGATGAAGATGCCGATGCTGACGAACAAGTGGCAGCCGCCCAAGGCCCAAAAGACGCTGCGCGTGGCTTGGCACCCTACATGCTTGACCGGTACACGCCTTGAACACCGTGACAAGCCCAACCGCCCTTTTGCCTGCCGGTTTTGAAATCTGCTAATCACGCGCCTTGCTCCCACACCCTGTCGCAGACGCTTGCATGATGTCCCAGAGGTCTTCCCCATCGCCCGCCGCCGAGGTAGCACACACTCTTCTCGTGTTTGGTGCACCGTTTGCCGACTCTCCCCACCCTCTCCCTCTCGCTTTATATTTGTGGCTGAACCCCCTTGGGTGAAGAACCAACCCCCGCCAGAGCCCTTTTGTACCTTGCATACATATAACTTGCACTTCTCGCCTGAAACGTGGTGCCGATCACCCTCTCTACCTTGCTAGGCCAGCCGCAGGAGCACTGGTGCTACTTTTATCCCGACCCGACCGCAGCGCCTGTGGGTGTCGTTTTCATCGACGATTCACAGAGCGGTACCTTTAGTCCTGCTGGAGACTCGCTCCTTGCTCTCTTGGTGGCCGAGGCTGGTAAGCTACCCGATCAGAAGTCTTTTGTGCCAAAGCTCAAAGCTTGCGCCGACCAAGGACACATCTCGCTACATCCCTCCAAGGCATGGCGCCAACACCAAGCCACGCACAAACTGGCCAAGACCTGGAACAAGCTGGGTATCTGCGTTCCATACAACCCAGAAACAGAGATTGGGTATCGGTACGTGATAAAAAAGTTGGCCTGCCTCAGAAGGGCCCCACTGATGCGTACTCACGCTTTTGCACCCGCCTCCGGCCTCCCCCCCTCGCTCCCGGGCCCATGCCTTGCAGCGAGCTCACCGTGACAAAGCCACAATTACGCAAGATGCTGCAGACTCTGATCGATGCCGATGTACAATGCCATAAGCCATCGCCCCATTTATCTCGACTCCCTGTCTGTGTCTGTGGTACCGTGTCGCAGGGCTCTGCTCAACCCTCGTCTCAATCTGACGTGCTCGTGCAGGAGCGGGGAGTGGACTGTGATTACCGAGACTTTGACAAGCTGTTGCAATACGCCAACATTAGCAATGATGAAATGGATTTTGGCCAAGGCCTTGAATTGGGTGAGCGCGTCAATTCAAGTCCGGCAGTATCTCACACCACCCCGTTGCTGTGCAAAAACTACCAAGCTGCCGTTTCGCTTGTCATGTGCTGTCAAAGGTACTCACGCGGTAACAACAACCCGATGGCGCGCGGCGCCCGTACCGGGGGTGCCATGGCGTATGGCAGGCCAAGAATTGCTCTTTTTTCACCCCACGCGCTTCACGCGAGACGCCGGCAAGCTCCTCGCGCCAACTTATGAACTGCTAGAAAGGTGGGATGCGTAGCGGTCGCCCGCACCTCGCTGTGACCAAGAGACCTCGATTTGCAAATGCTCGGCCTCGTCTTCGGCTCATGAGCACCTGACCACTAGGCATACGTATGCGCGTATCGTGGATGCTTGGACACGGCTCCGCGCACGCCTGCCTCTGAGCTGAGGCAGCTTGCTGATTGATGGCAAACACCGCCGGACCCTGCACGCTCAGGTTCAGTAGGCGCTTGGACCCCTTGTTAAAAGCCGCAGAATCAAAGCCAAGGTGGAACAAATTACAAGAGTCAAGCCGATGGCGGCAATCACAACCTCCAGCTTCAGCCTACGCCCCCATGAGCAACATCAAACCAAAATCACAGCACCCGTACCATATGAGCATGTATGCAACGACGATGAAAGATGGATGTGTGCGACCAAATGCCCAAATGAGCCCCAGCCCGCGCGTACACATAGGTTTGCCACAGCAAGAAGAATAAGTAGGCGAAGAGGGCCCCAAAACCCATGACCCCGGCCAAGATCAGGGAGGCCGTGTCCCCCATCAAATTGCCTCGGCGCCCTGTCAAGTGGTACACCACCCGTAAAGTAAGGCTGCAGCAACAAGCTCAGACCCGATGCGCCCTTTGCATAGCAAGGGGGCAAAGAAGGGGGCGTGTACCATTTACCCCAGTAGTTTTGGCTGGCCACTAGAGCCACCAGCAACAGCATCATCACAATGTCGCCACCCAAGTTGTCACGAGGATAGGGCAAGACGGTGTCTACAAGCACATTATCCGAGTCAGATCACGTACGGTGACACCACGGACGCTTGGGGCCCAGCACCAGGGGGCACCCCCTCTGCGCCGACCTACCTTTCCAGATGAAGAGAACAATTTCAAAAAGGGCGAAGAGAAGGGCAAAGTACGCGCTCCCCTTTAACAGAAGCATGGCAAGCATCGAGGGCGCTGTTCCACCCGCGATGCTTGCCGAGCGCGCCATGCCTTGCGGTATTGGCGCGATCCGCGAGCCGGCTGGTCTCAGGTTACCACCGGACGGACACCGATCCGGCCACACTCAACCCCACGCTTCTCCACACGTGCGCAAAACACAACAAACTCCCTCCCTTCCAACGTTTGTTATGTGCTCCAACCCTGAAAGACCCTCACGCTGTTTCGCAAAACCCCCAGTCGCCACCAAATCGCGCCCGCTCGCTCACACGCACACACAGAAAATCCAAGGATCGTCAAAACGCAACTGTAAAAACCAACAGCTGTTCTGAGCTGACCTCGGTATTACCTAATCGCTGCTGCTGACACGAGCAGATGGCGCAGCGCCGCGAGAAGGGCCCTGACCATGTGCATGAGGGTTGGTTAGGTGCCACGACAGGACAATCTGGCCGGGGACCTGGCATGGGAGGTCTGCAATTGATCGGCTGCAAAGGTACACGTCGCAGCCCACGAATAACCATCGCGTTTGTCTTTCCTTTTATTCACCTTCTTGGTGCGGCACCACGGATTGTTGTGGAAGCAAGCTCGCATGTACCAAGCTGCAAAGGCCGATGAGCAAGCATGAATGGTCCTTTGGCCAACACCCCAGCACCTGCCTGCTTTCTTTCGTATTGCTTCAACCTCTTTTTGGTTGAAGAGGATCACGAGCTGGGCAGAGGGAGGGGGCAAGCGTCATTTTGCAACCGAGCACCCCACTCGCGCCAACAGGGTGAACAAAAGATTTTTCTGCAGTGCGTTTTTCTTTGCGTCCTTCTTTTGGTGGCCAAGATGGTTCATGTACAGTGCACCGCTTCCCTTGTTGATGGCTGGCACCCCCTTTCTCATGAACTTCTTTGGGATGGGTGGGGGAGTAGGCACCATGACCATGTATCGCCAGCCGACTGAGGTAAAGAGACCTTCTACCCATCACTATGTCACATGATGCTTGGCAAAACAATGACAGAGGGGGGAAGGCATTTGGAGTTGAATGGTCATTGCCTCCTTTCACACCGCCGTGACATCACTGCCGTGTTGTTGTGGTTTTGGCTTCAAACATTCGAGCGTGGCCATGACCGGCCTCCGATCCAAACAGATGTCTTTCTCTTGTCTTGTATCAACATTTCTTGTCGACAATGAGTCAGAGTCGGGGCATTTACACGGCCCAGGACCGTTGACTTTGCGTCAGATCTTTCAGTGTCATTCAAGCACACATGTCTGCCCACCCACACTAACCATCACAAACGCGCTCGTTGTTGACCTGTCTGTGCTAACATGAGCTGGTCCCAGTGCACGGGCCCCCATCCCGCGTCTGCCATGGCCCACACGTCTGGTGTTGCGCAAAAAACGCGCGCCCCAAAACCTCTGCTGCTGCTGCTGCTGTTATTGTTGCTGGCGTGCACGCCCGTGGCCAGCATTAGCAACCAAGCGCCCACGGCATCACCTTCCCTGGATTTGGTCGCACGCGTCCTTGTCACGCCTCCAACAACAGATACATTGGTGCACTTGGAGTTGCTGCATGCCCCAGCACAATTGGAGATGACTGCGTGGAGCTTGAGCTTGGATGCTTGCTGTCAACGCTCATTCTTGGGCTGTGTGGAGCTGGAGGTGGACCCTGCTGTGGTTCGAGTTGACCAACATCAAAAGGGCGCCTTTCGCCCGGCTTTCTATGCTCAGTTCGCCAAACGTCTCCGTGGCAAAGTCGAGTGTCTCGCCACCTTGCGTCACCCAGATTTGCCGGCGGCAGTGGCGGACACACGAGCACTGGTCTTCGAGGTATCGGCTGACATGGACATGCCTCAACAACGACGCCAGCGCCGTGACACCACAAAGTCCAGCCGTGTCTCACGACGAGCAGCTGGTTCTTGTGCCTCCTATGAAGACTATCATGCGGCCACTGACTCATGTATACCCAAAGCACCTTGTCTAAATCTGGCAAGGGTGTTGGATGTGGTCACGGGGGAATGCTTGACGGGGGTGGGGTGTGAAGTCCGATCCAAGATTGTCGTACAAAACAAGTACTGCATTTCACCAACCACGCCAAGCACCACCACTCGTCCCCCCTCGACCATGGCGTCCTCGAGTGCTGACCGCCCCACCTCCAACGAGATGACTACGGAGTCGGAGCCGGACAGCGTCAGCAGCAACGGCGAAAGCAGCAGCAGCAGCAGCAGTAGTAGTACGGGTTCCATGACGCAGGATCGGCAGACGCGAAGCGCTTCCACGCAGAAGCCTGCATTCACCGTACCCACGGTTGACAGCAATTTGGCTTTGGGCACACTGCCTCAGAACCACAGCGACGAAGACCAAGAGCAGATTGCCACCAACAACAATGGTACGCGGCTCGACGTCGGTCAGCCTGCCTATGTTCAGCCCTTGGCCATCGCCCTGATAATTCTGATTCTTCTGTGTTGTACGCTGTGTTGCGGGTGCCTCTGCCTACGTTATCGCCGCCGTCGCCTTGCAAAACGACGGGAATGTAAATCCACGTCTGATAGCATATCGAGTCAAGTGGCTAGCTCGCCGAGCCGAGCGAACAAACGCCATCAATCACGCAAGTCCAGGCCAGGCGACGTCGCACGAGGCCGCCCGGCTCCACCCCACGGCGGAGCTTTGATAGAGGTGATGACCTCTGCGGCTGCCGCAGACGATTTGGCAACAACAGCTGAAGCTTGCAACGCTAGATGGGTGGCGCCTCCAGAGGTTGCCAGCCTGGACTTGGACTTGTATGCAGATAGCGCATCGTTTGCCAGTACCCTCGAGCAGCCCAGCCTGGACTCAACCTATTTGGATGTGAGTTGGGCGTCCATCAACAGCACTGAGCAGGGTAGTGTTCCTGCGTCCCCAGATACAAGTCTCAGGATAGATCAGGTGCAGGCCTCATCACCCCGCAGCCCGAGGTCCTGGCCATTGCCGCGCCGTCACAGCCAGGTACGTCCAGCCTCCATCCTTTCAGAAGGATACATTGAGGTGTTGGAGGAAGGCGGCTCGGATGATGAGGACGACCCGGTCCCGCGATTTTGAGACTTTTCCCCTGTGCATTGTGTAAACCTTCTTTGCTTTTGTGACCATGTCCAACTTGGCGCGTGTGATATACTCTTGTAAACGTATACGTGTCTAGTATGGTGCGATTACCTGTTCCTGCCTTCAAATCTCAGACTGTCGACTGTCGCCGCGGGTCTAGTGACTGAGAAGTGCCCACAGGACCCCACCGCACCCCTGCTTTGTTCTGCGCCCCTAATCATATGAATTGAACTGGTGTATCAAAGTGCGCTCCACCATCACACACGAGCGTCATCCATGCTACCCACGGCCAAGACCTCAAATTCCAAGACCTACCCACCCCTCTGCCTCCCACCCTTGACTCCGTGCGTGTCCAGCGAGACTGCCAAAACCTCGGTTTCCCATCTCTACAAGTCAAACGAGACAATTTGTAACCATAAGAAGGAAATTGGATTTCAGTGCCCACTTTGGCCCTTTTTTTTGCATCTCTTGCTATTGATGCCTCTCTCTCTCTCTCTCTCTCTCTCTCTCTCTCTCTCTCTCTCTTCTCTCTCTGTCGCTCACAAGACACTCGACGCCATTGGGTGCTGCTGCAGTTGGTGGCGGTGCTTGTGACCGTGGTGGTAGCTGAGCTTTGGCAGGGACATTGGTATCTGGTGGCAAGTCGGCCGTGGCGTGAACGTGACTGTCGTGTTGAAGACGGAGTCTGCCATCTTTTTAACGTTTGAGGCGAGCGCTGGCGCTGGAGCTAGAGCTGGGAGGCGATGGCCACGACTGAAGAGCCGACTTGACGCCAAGGCCATTGATCCGCTCCTGTCGTGAGCTTCTTCTATTGTTTTCAAGGCCTGCTGAGACGACTCTTGTATAACTGCAACCATGGCCAAGCGGGTTGTTATCAAGCCATACAAGGTCAGCTGCCGTGCGCCGCGAGGCTGTCAGTCACACCTTGGCGCACTTTGGGGCTCACCGGAACCCTCCTGAACAGGCTGTGAGTGCCAACAACGAGTTTAGTGAGCGCAACTGGTCACTGTTGCAGGACGCCATGCTGAGCATTGAGGTATGGCGTGGTCACGCGATGTTTGACAGGACAACATCTGCCTTGTCCTGAGCCAAGATGTCTGGTTGAACCTGGCCGTGTGCTCATTGGTAATTGACGGCGACAATGTCGGCCCTGTTGTCACCTCGTTGGCAGCGGCGCCAAAGCTCATCCCTCAGCTTTGAACAGCTCTATCGAACCGTCTACAACCTTTGCCTGGGACACCATGAGGCCGTATGTTTTGTTTTTTTCTTTTGCTGTTTGTTGCAGGCTGCAGTTGCATATAACCACGCACTCTAATCCAGCCTTCAGCTCAAATGCAAAATCATCTCATGACCCATCGCTTTGTTGACAGGAGGTGTACAAGCGCTTAAACCAAGCCTTTGCTGCCATGTGTCTTCGCTATCGTGCTGCTGCCGAAACCGGTGTATGTCGACGCATCTGCGCCCGTGCCGTCAAGCCCTTCTCTGCTATCGCGCCCTCCATTTCCGGTCTTGTTTGACATTCCCAGAGCTCTGGTACATTGCTTTGCCTTCCATCTACTGACGACTGGTCCCTGCGTGCCTTAGCTTGATAGCCAAACCACCCTTGAATGTCTTGTCGGAGCCTACCGTGACTACTTTCTTGTGGTCAACACGGTCAAGGATATCTTTCTCTATTTGGTACGTGTTGAATCCAAAGGCCTCAACTCCAAAGGCCTCAGCGCAATATAACACCGCCATGCCATACGAAGCTGACCCTGGCTTCATGCTAATCCTGTTCTGTTTTCGATAGGATAATACCTATTGTAAACCCAAGCACTTTCCAATTGTTTTTCAAATGGCCTTGGCTGTCTTTCGAGCTGAGGTTGGCCGCTCAATCGCATTAGTCCGGGCCTTCCGGGCCCTGGTTCCTGGTCGAGTCCCTTTTCCTTTTTTTCATCTTTCTCCGAAAAGATGATTCTTCCTCTCTTTCCTTTCGCCATGACCTCACGATAATGCACACCCATGTGCAGGTGGTCCTGCACGACATGCTCAATCGACAACTGCGGCATGAAGTGCGCCACTTGCTGGCCCGGGATCGTGAAGGCAATCACACAAACCGGTAAGAAGCGCAAACCAAGTACTGCTGCACTCCTTATGATGGTATGTGCGGTGACATGCGAAAAAAACTTACACGCACCTTGCAAAACACCAGAACTCTGTTGCGATCATGCGCCGTTATGCTCGTCTCCCTTGGTCCCACGGACGACTCGTGGTCTCTCTTCCACAAGGTGTATCACTGCGCACAAGCTGAAATCAAAGCCAATCTGGCTTGCTGCTCGCCTGGGATGCCTGTATTTGTGCATCCTTTGCTATCTCATCATCTCACTTTGCTGCTATCAGCACATGGCACGCATCCATGAGGACGAGTGCGAGAGCTATTACGCACGTCATGGCACGGAGTATTTGGACCATCACTCGGTTAAAGGTCTGTCTGCCCTGCGACCCGCACGGATTCCCATGTTCATGCACAGCGTGTAACCCTCACCTTGTTCTTGAATGCCTTTGGTTTCCGGATGTATTTAGAATATGTTGCATACGCGCACGCACGAGTGCGCGAGGAAATCGAGCGTACCGAGGAATGCCTCGATGCCAGCCTCTGCCCTTCCATCACCAAAGTACGCTATACTCTTAAAAGGAAATGAGAAGGGGAAGGCAGTGATTTGTTGACACCTAGCATCTAGCTGTCAGCCAAGCTGTGAGGCTCAATTGCAGCACACTTTTACCCTTGCAGCTGATGCGGCGAGTCTTGTTGGTGGAACACTTGGACGAGTTACTGACTCGGGAGGATGGTCCTGCGTCCTTTCTCGATGCGAATGACTATCACAGTGCGTTGTTTTGCCTGCGTTTCACTGGCTTTCACTTGCACGAAAAATATGGCCGTTGTGAACAAATGAGTGTGCTTTTAGGCCTTGGTTTGCTTCACCAGCTACTGCGACCCTTGCCAGAAATTCAAAAGCTTCAGGAAGCCATTGCGGCCAAATTTGAGGTGTGTGCGGATGATTCATGCCGAGTTCCTCCCCCCCCACACCCTACTCTCTCGCGCCTCAGCCAATCCCGTTCAAAGTATCGTTCTTCATTTGTCGTTTTGCAAGAATGGCGCGTCTCGCTTACGCTCCTCCACTCTCTACTCCAACTGTAGAGTGACGTGCTGGCCCTGGGTAGCAGTGCGACTGACGACAAGGCATCTGCAGTGAAACTCATTGAGCAACTTGTGGGGCTGCACGAAAAGTCCACGATTGCGCTCCGTGACGCCTTCCACCAAGATCGGGATTTTGCTTTTAGTATGGCCACGGTGAGTGAAAGCATCTTCTCTTTTTTCGGTTTGATGTACAAGCAAGCTATTGGCCTGACATAAAAACTCGCAATGTCGTGGTCGCGCTGGCTCGTCAGGGCTTTGAACGAGGCATTAACAAAATCAAAAACGCAGCAGAAAGCTTGTGTCAGTACATTGACGATATCCACCGGCGTGGAACGAAGGAGGTACGGTTGTGGTCGCAGCATATTTGAATCGCGATGCTCATTGCCTTCTCAAGCTCGGTCATTTTGTGCCATCAACTGTACGCTCTTGCGCCGCGCCGACTGAACTTGCTGTGCGCGCTTGGGACAGCTGACGGATGGCGAAATGGAGTCTCGGTTGGATCACGCGGTGGCCATTTTTCGCCACTTGGAGGAGAAGGTGTGCTTGGTGCTTCCATTCGTTTGTGTCATGATTTGTTCTTTACAGGCTGTTGAACTTACTTTTCGTGTTCTGCGCGTTCTTGGCTAAAGGATGTGTTTGACAAGTACTACAAGCTGTATCTGGGCAAGCGCTTGCTGCTCCACAAAAGCGCGTCGGATGACGCTGAGCGCCATTTTATCGCACGCCTCAAGGTATGCGTGCCTTCCTGTGCCTTTGGATGATGACTGGTGGGTGGACCGCCTTTCTGGCACTCACCTTTGACGCGTTAGGCGGAGTGTGGTAGGTCTTGGACCGCCAAGATGGAGGGCATGTTCCATGACATTGAAGTTTCAAAGACATTGGCTGAGGACTTTCGTCGTGCGTGCAGCAAGGTACGACAAGCCCCCGGGCCATATGATTACGTGCTCTTTAATGCTATACTTTCAGAGACGCATACATACACAGGCATGGCTGCTGCTCGTGCTTTGCAGGACAAAAACCCTCTGTCTTATGACTTTGATGCAAGCATCTTGACATTTGGGCACTGGCCGGCCACGTCGCCCTCTGTCACTTGCATTCTGCCTGATGCCATGCGGTAGGCGAATGAGGCCCATCCCCTCGTCTTTTCACAGTGACCTGCTCATTGCACGAATGGTTGATCACTCTCAGGCAAGCCACACAGCGCTTTGAGGCCCACTACCATGCTCGACACAATGGGCGAAAGCTCATCTGGCAACCCACACTTGGACATGGCGAGCTGAAGACGACTTACTTGGCAAAGCGCCAACACGTCCTGCAGGTGGGTAGGACGTGCCCCTAGGGGTATATGAGGCGCTGTTGCTCATGGTGGGCCACTCCTGGCATGAAAATGCTCCATCATTAGGTTACAACGCAGTGCATGATGGTGTTGCTCAATTTCAACGGACACCTTGCAGTGGATGCCTTGTCATATGGGGTGCGCAGGTGACGCCGTGTGGTATGTTGCTGGTCGCATCGCCTCTCTCATTTTGCTGGCTTGGTGACAGGCGCTGCTTGAAGCTACGCAGCTTCCGGAAAAGGATCTGCAGCGCACTCTGCAGTCATTGGCGTGTGGCAAGCATGTGCTCCTTACCAAGTCGTCTTCGGGCAAAACCATACGTATGCTGCTCCCTCCCTCTCTCTCTCTCTCTCTCTCTCTCTCTCTCTCTCTCTCTCTCTCTCTCTCTCTCTTGAATCTCTCTCTCTTGAATCTCTCTCTCTCTCTCTTGAATCTCTCTCTTGAATCTCTCTCTTGAATCTCTCTCTTGAATCTCTTGAGTCTCTCTCTCGTGTGCGCGCACGTTCTATCTCACATTGACTTTGTCATCCATCTCGTTATCACTGGACGTAGACTCTGACGACAATTTTAAACTGAACCACCGATTCTCATCAAAAGCCGTTCGTGTCAAAGTGCAACAGGTTGGTTCATCCAAATCACTTTGACCACCTTTTACCCCATGTTGCGTCGACATATTCGGCTTGAACGTGGTCCTGATTTGTATCGCCTACCTTACTTTTTGATAGGTGGCAGCACGAAATGAGGAGCGAGAGGTGACAGAAAAGAAGGTGCAGGGTGAGCGACGCCTGGAGATTGAAGCGTGTCTAGTGCGCATCATGAAGGCACGCCGACAGCTGGGTCACAACGAGTTGCAGATCGAGGTGTGTTCTGTGCGGAGCGTTGGCGGTTGGAATGATCGAGGGTCTCAGGACCTCTGGGCAAGAGCTGCGCCATGTCTCTTGACACTGCTTTGGCTTGAACTCCTGCATGCGCGCAGACTATCAAGCAGTTGGCGCCACGCTTTAAAGCGCAGCCCGCACAGATCAAGCGGCGGGTCGAGGACCTCATTGAGCGCGAGTTTCTCGAGCGCGATCCCGATGACCGGTGCGTCTGGTTGTGAGCGGCCCGGGTGAAGAGGACTGCAGCCTTTTGCATTTGCGGTTGCGTCGCTCATGTTTGCCCGCGTGCTCTGTTGCTCAGAACGGTATACCGGTACTTGGCGTAATCCTGGCTGTTGGCTGTGCCACACCCGCTGCATGCTGCCATTCTCCTTGCGGCACGCTTTGCAGCCCTGCCTGTCTTGCCTTGCACCCTTTCTCCGCCACGTGCAATTCAACCCTGCCCGCAATACCGCTTGTTGCTGCACACGCGTGGTCAGAGTGGTCGGCGATGACTCACCAACGATGGGACATGAAAAATACATGAAAGGAGTGTGGAGTGTGATTGAAAGCGTGTCCTGTGGACTCATTAAAAGACTCATTAAACCGATAGCAAACCGATGCGAGGTTGTCGGAGACGTGCGTCTACGATATGAATTAGTTGTCGGATGTACATCTGTAATGTGTAAAGCTGGGTTCACACGCTCCTGCGATATGGACTCGACACAGGTGCCCAGCACTCTCTTCTAGAAGCGGAACACCATTGATGTCATCGTGATTTTGATCTTGAGACTGCGATCAACCGACTATCTTCATGTTCAGTATATATCGGTCTGCCTTGGCGGCCCCAGTCGACTAGAGCGCTGGGCGTGATTCGAGCAGCCCCATACCCCAGTCCATCACAGATCCGTGGACAGCTGTATCTGGTCTGAAGTCCTTGAACAACACCAAGAGCACAGACATGATCAAGATAAAAAATTACACCAAAATTCATGAAAAATTACGATTTATTTGACACACACACACACACACACACACACACACGCGCGCATCATCTTCCAAAGATGGCGACGACGCCCGCACCAATGGCGGTGTGGACACCAGCAGAGCTTCCGGAACGACCAAGTGCTCGGGTGCGAGAGGATGCAGCCTTCGTTGTCGAGCACTCGGCAGACGTGACCGTACATCAAGATGCAGCTGAACGGTATGTTACAAGTGCACCTTCCATGGCGCGGTGGGGTGCTCAAAGCATGCTGTGAATTCGTTGCAGACTGGCCGCGACCGTAGTCTCGCAACTCAAGGCCAAGTCGTACAGCCTACAGGCGTGGCGAGAGCACGAAATGCACCCTTCCTCGCCGACAGAGGACACCTGCAACTGGTAGGCATTCACGTGGTCCCTTCTCCTGCCCGCGCTCATCGCCATCCACGTGCATTCAGGAGCACGGGAGATTTCTCACGAGTCGGGCGGCGAGGGTGCAGGGTCTTTTTGGTTGACCTCCTGAATTACTCGTTTTTCCACGATGATGAATCCAAGCCATTTGCGATCGGCTTTCGCGGTCGTACCTGGACAGGCTATTGGTCCCTCTGCGCGGCGTTGAACCGTGCGCAGGAGGTATGTAGTTTGGGAGAGCACGATGTGACCGGAGTTTGCAGTGGGTACCAGGTCTGCTGTCAATGGCCACGTCTAGAAGCACCTTGCACTGACTGCGCCGGCGTGGCAACGGCTGTAGGAGGGTCTCAATTTGCTCGACATGCAAATTGCAGCCAATCTGTCTCGTGAGCAATTTGATCACGTTTTCCGAAGTGCAACTGAAACGGTACCGTACTTATAGCTAGGCAACGCTGCTGCACTTGGCCAAAAGCTCACCAACGCGCGTAACCAAAAATTTGCAGCCTGTTCCGTTGGGTAATCAGCGCTTCGACCACCTGCGCGCTGCCGCGGCGACCCTTTTGCAGGCAAGATTGGGCTACAGTCTGTACTCATCCCGCGCCAGCGACCGATGCTCACACCGTCCATCCATCTTGACAGAAATACGGCGGGTCCTTTGCAAACGTGGTGCGCGCAGCAAACCACTCGTCTCAAGTGCGTTGCCTTTGCCACAATGGTGTGGAGCAGGCTTCTTCTTGCTGTGGCTGCCTGTCAACTGAATACGACTGTGCATGGTCAACTAGGCACTTCTGCGCCTGGTTCTGAAAGATTTTCCAACATTTCGGGATGGCGCAATGTTTGAGAGCCATGAAGGTGAGGCTGCAGTATGAAGAAAGATTTGCAATGGCACGCGCGTGCGTCTGACTTCAGTGTGACCAACCCCTTCGAAACACCTTGTTCGCCGGATCGACGTATGAACCGTGCCTCACGCTGCGTCTCACTATGCTAGTACTTATTCTTAAGCGAGCTCAAATCCTCGTGGCTGATATTTGGGGCTGCTACCAGGGCCAGGGGCTTGGGCAGTTTGACGACATTGATGAGTTGACCATGTTTGCTGACTATCGGTACGATGCATCTCGCAGCCTCAGCCAGGGGCGGCGGGACTGGCGACCGCTTGAGTCTTGACAGCCAACTTTTTCTCATGAAACCTCGGTCCACATGACATCGACTCTTGACGCAGCGTTCCACAGAGCCTTGTTTACTTTGGCCTTCTCTCCTATTCAGAAGTTTTGCTACGTGATTTAAGAGCAGGTGTCCCGCTGCCGGCCGGGTCACCTCGTGAGATAGCTATTCGAGCTGGCTCGATTGCGGCAGTAGAGGTGCGTGCTGTTTGGTGCTGCAGCGTCTGAGACGAGTGGGGGGGCCTCATGTCACATGCTGATCTCTGCTAGGCTCTGCTGGCAGCGGTGCGCGCTCAGCTCGGTACTGACCCCACCCCAGTGAACGCCGTCATTCTAGACTTTTTTCTTTGGGACTTAGCCAAAGCCGATGCTGCCCAGATGGCTGATGTACCCATTCATCGCACGCGCGGCATCTTCTATTGATTGACAAATTTGGTGCGCTTGCGAGCAGCCATAACAACAACAAGAGTAGGACAAGTGTCGTGTCAGTCACCCTTTGCCAACCGATTAGAGACCCTTGGACCCCCGTCAGAATCGATTCATGACAACGACCAGCACAGCGAAAAAGGAGGAGAAGGAGGATGAAAGAAAAAAAAAAAAAACCGTGACAACGATTACGCCTGCACGCATTGCATTTCTCCGCTCGTCTTGACCTCAAGCTCGTCACGGGGGGGACAAGGGGTTGTCAGTGAGCTGACGCCGTCCCAGGATCCGGGCGCGAAAATACACTGGTGCTTGAACGTGCGTGTGTGTGAGTGTGTGAGTGTGTGAGTGTGTGAGTGTGTGAGTGTGTGAGTGCGTGAGTGTGTGAGTGTGTGAGTGTGTGAGTGTGTGGAGAAAGGTCATGGCGCCACAGCGGCAGGCCACCCGCGGGGGTGATGAATCGCTGTATGACAAGTTGCACTGCGCTTCTTGCGGGGGCCTGTGCCGTGGTGATGCGTGGTGGCCTTACAATGCCATCTGCTTCCCTTTTGTGCTGGTCTGGAACGCCTTCTACCACTACCTGCTGGCTTGTCTGAGCGTGTTTGCCTATCGTTTCTGTATGACCGTCTGCTGCTGGCCCTGCTACACCTGCTGTCCCAAGACATGGAACTTTGTGGACAAGAAGTTTCCGCCGGGCCCCGGCGCAATCTTGGACCCAAACGCGGCTCCCTTTGACGACAACGAGTTTTATGGCAACACGCCGGCTCAAATTTCCGCCAAGGTCGATTGGATGCGCGCCGATGATGTTTTGCGCGACAGCACTCGGCGCGCTGCGCGACCCGGCTCCATGTCTGCTTCAGTGGGTCGCCCCACAGACGAACAGCCACCGCACTTTTTCCTCTTTGAGGGGGGCATCCGACCGGATGACATCATCCAGGGCCAGCTCGGTGACTGCTGGCTGCTGTCTGCTCTCTCATCCATGGCCGAGTACCCAGAGGCGATCCGCAACTGCTTTGTGCAAAACGAGTATCACCCTCGCCACAAATACCGGGTCAAGATGTGGGATATCCGCACCAAGAGCTGGTTGCATGTGTCTGTCGACGACTATGTTCCTGTGAAAAAAGGTCCGCCAGATGAGAGCACTCTATACTGACCACAGACAAAGAGACGAACAAAGTGGCAATTTAGGGACACACGCGCAAGCATCAGTGGTGGCCCCTGACCCGACTCGAGCTCAGATGTTGTTGTCCCCAACCTGCTTAGGTACAAGCCGCCCTTACTTCACTGATCCTCAGGGACGTGAGCTGTGGGTGTTTCTCATCGAGAAAGCCTTTGCCAAGTTTCACGGCGGTTACGCCTATCTTGACGGCGGGCGCTCGCCTTGGTACGCCGGTACCAGCTTGCTCCTTGCCGCTTGTCGCCCTATCATCGCACATGTCAGGCCTACCTGCAGCTCACAGCATTCTGTTCCGTCATGAATCTTGTTTGTAGGGCCTGGCATGTGCTCACTGGCGACAACGTTTTTAGCTTCAAACTCAATCAACCCGATGTTTGGAGCACCTTCCTGTACGACTTTGAATTCAAGGACAGCCAAAAGCATCAATGGCATGCGGCTTATCTGCGTGACACGGGTGACCGCTGCAACCACGACCGCATGCACGAAATGATTCGCCAGTTTTGCCGGCACCGGGCACCCATGGGGGCCTCAATCCACTCTCAGAGCCGAGCTACTAACGGCCTTGTCGCGTTCCATGCCTATTCACTCATTGATGCTGTTCGCTCGGGCAAGAAGAAATTGGTCAAACTTCGCAACCCCTGGGGCAGGTTAGTGGTGTGGTGATGGTTGGTCTTGCGCAGAGCATCGCGCGGCATGCTGTTTTGGGTGCTTGTGCGCACTTTTATTTCCCGTCTCACCATGGCACAACGATACATTATTTTTGCACTTGGGTAGCGGTGAATGGACTGGCGCATGGTGCGATGCAGATCCGCGCTGGCAAAAGTATGTGACCTTCCTTGCGTCAGCTCGCTGCCAGTCCGGTGCCTGCTCGCAGGCAGCAACTCTGACTTGTCGTGCCCTTTTTTTTGGTGTTTGCGTGTGTTTGATAGGCATAGCGATTTGATGCACAAGTGCAAGCAGACCAAGGACGAGTTTGACGGTGCCTTTTGGATGTCCATGGAAGACTTTGCTCTTCATTTCGATCGGATTGACGTTTGCGACCGTTCTGTAAATCGTGACCTCCGACTAGACGTGCGCGAGGATGATGGCGCCTGTGGTGTGGTCAAGGTACGTTTATGCCTTTGTGGTCTTTATAACACTATAGTTTATGACCACAACTTGCCCTCGCAACGCTCAATGTCGTGTGTCTGGCAGGGCTGCTGTTTTGATTGTGGTCGCTATTGGTGCTTGTGCATGGGCATCCGCACCTTGTATCTGGGCCACCGCACCGGGGAGACGTTGGATTACCACAAGCCCATTTGTGCCTGTCGTGATACTGGTCGCGGTTGGCAAGACAGTAGTATCGTCTAGCTTGTACTCTACCCGTGCTCCATCAAGGTGCGCATGAGAGCGGGCAGGTGGATCAACCGTTGTCGTTGATGATCCAAGGTCAAGCGCGAGCACAGCTCACATGGAAGTTCTTGGTAGAAGAGGAAAATTTCATACTATAGTGGATATGTGAATTTTTGCGTCAACGACTGCTGTCCGCAGAAGAGATTTTACTAAATGGGTAGGTATGATGCTTGTAAAGACCCAAACAACATTGGGCTTAGAATAAAAAACTAGCATGAACACAAAACTACTCAAAATTGGCGGTGCCTTTCACAATGACGGGCAAGGACCAAGGCAAGTGTGAGATGAGCCCGCTCGAGTCTGGGGTGCGAGATAAAGACTCCTGGTGCCGTAGCGCTTGCTTGATGCATTAGAGAGTGGATTCTTGGCGAAGCAGCGCCAAGTTACGATTCAATGCTTGAGCAATGAAGAAAGTTTGCATCATGCCTTTGCCCTTGATCATCATGGGTGGTCGAGCCTCCAGGGGGATGTTCTTGTCCTGTGCTTGTAAGCGCTCAGCCGCATCCAGGGACAGGTGGATCCGGCCCGCCTAAACAAGCGTGTCCCAGAGCAAAGTGTAAGGACCTGCGCTGGCACCGCGATAGCCAACGCTGCATTTGCGCTCGATGACCGCAGCAACCCACCTCGGAGTTGCTTTCCATGCGGCTGGCTGTATTGACGGTGTCACCAAAGAGACAGTACCGTGCATTCTTGGTTCCCACGACGTTGGCCACGACAGGCCCGGAGTGAATGCTGCATGATCCACAAAGTCGAAAAACATGGATGAGTATGCATGAGGAATGGGGGTGATTGGGGAGCTTGCATGATACAACTCATCTCTTACCCAACGCGAATGACGACGCTGCCCATGGTCGGCTCATCTGGTAAGATAAGCGTAGTGCCTGCTGCCTCCACAGCACGCATGGCAAATTTGACCATTCGAGCGGTGTGATCCGACTGCTGCTCAGCCAGATTTGTGACAGCCATAAAGGCATCACCAATCGTCTCAACCTATCCGTCGATCCCAAGGCTTGATGAGGCAAGTGCAACTAGCTTGTGGGCCTCAAGCCCCTTGTCATTACCAACAGGAACTCGGTTGCGGTTTGTCAAATTATGGGCGCACCTTGAAAATGTTGAGCTCATCGGCAATGGCATCAAACTTGGTGTACAGGCGATCAAGCATGTCTGAGACTTCCACAGGGGAGAGAGCCGAGCTGATGTTGGTGAAGCCCTTGATGTCACTGAAGAATAGCGTGACGCTGTCGTGTAGGCCAAGGGCGGTTAGGTCGGAAAAATTGGCTCTCCGCGCAAAAGCACGGTACTTCAATTCGCAGAGGGTGTGGGGGTGCGAATGTGGGATGCGGATAAATTGACTTACTCTTCATGGTGCTCAGGCTCAACTTTGATGCCCTTGCGGAGCTTTTCCGCAATGTGAGGCGGGAACACATCGTGCAGAACACGGGCTGAGGTACAATGGAACACTCATCATGAGCCAGCGATTGCGATTGCGGGCATGTCTCGTGTTGATGGCTCATGAAGAGCAACACTCCGCCTGCAAAGAACGAGGGTTTCAGCTCACCTTGTTCCTTCTGGTTCTTCCTGCCCAAAAGCATGCTAAGCCCAACGTTCTTGATGTGCATCTCCTTGAGCTCGTGGGCCAGGTAATCAAAGTTGACTCGAGCATTCGGGAGTGCAGCCCAGCTTAGATTAATCAGTCGAGCAATGGGCAACGGGCAGCTCGTGGCAATCTCGGGTCGCTTAATGGGCGTCAGTGACAGATTTCCAACTGCTTCCAGAACCTGGTGCAGTACAGACGGGTGCGGTCGAGAAAGTCGCAAGCGTTGGTGGTGAGGCGGACAGGCGTGCTCAGTTGCACGAATGAACGCGCAGGGGTACACGTAGAAAAAACATCGTATGAACCATGAGCTACGAACCTCTTCGAGGCGTTCGCCTTCATAGGGTAGTCGGCGGTGCATAACCTCCCATAGCAAAATGCCAAAGCTGTACACGTCGCTGGCTGGGCTGGGGAGCTCTCCGTTGATAACTTCCGGGGCCATCCACTGCATGCAACCCGTGTGTGAGTGGGTATGCTTGCTTGGTGCCACAGCGGCCTCTTTTGCGAGCCTGGCAGCTGCCATGTCACAAAAGTGCGCCACCACTCACCGCGGGTGAGCCACTCATGGGCTTGCCAAGACCAAAGGCCGAGAGAGAAAAGTCCCCAATCTTAGCACGAAAGTTGCTATCAATCAGAATATTATCAGCCTTCAAATCTAAGAACATTGATGGTAAGTGCGGTGAATGGTCCATGAGCCGCGGACCTGTGGAAGATGAAACCTGGGCATGGTTCAGATGGATAGGTACGCAGGTACTTACCACAGTGAACAATGACAGGGCGGTTGTTGTGCAAGTATTGCATGCCCAAGACAATGTCCTGAACGATGGGCATGAGAATCTCGTTGTCAATCTGAAGTTTATCAGACTTGAGTAGGTTGGCAAGAGAGCCATGTTCCATGTACTCGTAGACGGTCATGAGCTCACGGCCTTCAATGACGGCTGCCATGGCAGTGAGGATGCAGGGGTGGTTGATCTTGGCAATGACGCGCATCTCACGACGCACGCGGTCCTCGGCTTTGACTCGAAGAAGATCGTTGGAAGAGTACATGCCAAAGCCCACGGCTCGTTCCATGTTGTCGTCAGTGAGTGCTTCCTTGGGCTTGGTGCGTGAAACAACCTTGACGGCCACTCGGAAACCACGAAATTCGGCTAGAATAACGTTGCCAAATGAGCCCTTGCCGAGGACGACGGGCTCGCGGGGAAAATCCAGCTCCTCCTTTTGAATGCGCCAGGAGTGATCCAGGATGCGTAGTTGTCGAGCTTTTTTGAGGAAGAGGATAATGGCGATGAGAAGCACACCAATAAAGACAGCCATCACCAGCAGCCCGGACAAAGGTTGGCAATAGCCACCAAGGTCATAGTAGCTGGCCTTGCATTCGCACTCGCCGCGTGCGTTGGGTTGGCGCAGCGAGTCACCACAGTCGCGCGCCTAGCCAGTGCATCAAAGGGCAAGCCGTGGTATGGTGAGCGAGTGCATGGGAGGACAACACTGACTCACGCTTGACTGGGAGCTCACCTGAACATCGATGAAGAAGGCGTCAGCCGCGACTTGTCGGTCAGCTTCTACCTCAACTAGATGCACGCCCATCTGTGAAAAGGTCAAGTTGAGGCTCTTGTCAATACCGTTGAGAAGCGTGATGTTGTATGTCGCGATGGCGCCGCCAACATGTACAAAGACGGAGACGATGGTGGGTTGATCCCATGTGAAAACGTTGTTCACAATGCGCAGCTGCACGGCTTGCAGCTGCTGGGTTGTAGCACAGGTGGCGAGCTGGGGGCACAGAACGGCGCTGTCGTTGTTGGATGCTGGGATGTAGCGCACCTGAGGTGTGGGTGGAACAAAGTGAGCTGGTCAGAAAGTCCATGACCACGTGCCTGAGTAGCTTGAGGCGAGCCGCAAACGGGAAGGACAAGTGTTGTGCGTGTGCATTTGAGAGGGCTGACCTCGACGGGGCTGCCCACGTAGCAGGGCTGGCAGAAGCAATCCTCTCGTGGGGGACAAGTGAGACCAAGATCCAAGCATGAGTATTGAAGGCCCAGGTTTGTTTGGGCTACCGAGCCTGCAGGGCACGTCAGGCTTTGGGCAATGTCGCTGTGAATCAGCTGGCAGGATTGCCGAGAGTAGGCCGGGACGGTTTCCTCCTAGTAGCGTGCCCAGCAACCAAGCCATATATGCGGGAAGTTGGGTGAGAGCAAGCGGCAATGGTGAATAAGGTGGACGGGGCAGGCGCTTGCGCGGGGAAAGAAAGGTAGGGTGAGGGGTGTGGAAGCGCACCCAAATTTCAAAGGCACGAGTGAAGCCGAGACCACTGATCCAGCTGAAGGTGGAGCTGCTGATATCAGCCAGGAGTGCACTAATCATTGCTGACGCCGCCTGGCGTGGGGTGCAAGTGAAGGGTGAGATTCAGACGAGGTGAGTCTTTCAGTTTTTGAAGAAATATGTGGGGGGTGGTGGAGGTGCGGCAGTTGTGTTGCGATGTTTGCTCGGGTGCCAGTCTGCAAGGAGCGCCTGGTTGTGCACATGGGTGTAGATGAACATACCTGAGCATCCACAGCACCGCTCTCGCTGCGAATGAGGGACCATTGGGGAACGATCTCTGTCGAACGGATCAAAGTGTCTGAGCTGTGGGTTGCGTTCTGACGATTGAGGGGATGGAGCGCTGGGGCGTGTTCAGGGTGTGTTTCGATGAAGCCCATGGGTAGGAAGATGTAGTCTGTCTCGTTGGCTTCGAGGAGGGCCATGAGATCCTCATCGTCTGTGGCGAGGATGTACTGGAGGGGGTCATTGAGGGCGTTGAGGCCCTGGCGATTGAGTTCGGCCTGGACCAGGCGAGAGGCAGCAATGGCATCTGTCGATGTGATGGCGACGCGGCGACCAGGCAGCTGGTCCAAGTTGTGTAGGTGGGTTCGATTTGCATGGGTGCTGATCACACCACCCAGATAAGGATTTGGGGTGCCTTAGGAGAGATTAAAAAAAAAGGCCGAGATGAGGCAAGAGAGAGAGAGAGAGAGAGAGAGGGAGAGAGAGGGAAGCGAGCATGGCGGTCATCAGGGCGGGACAAGGGGTGACTGACCAGTATAGTTGGTTTGTAGCGTGGCCAGCAGGACGACATTGCTGACTTTGGAGAGGCACGAGTAGGTAAAGGGGTCGACGAGGAGCAGATCATAATCGGCCTCAGTGACGGCAGCGGGGGCATCGGTGGCAGCCAAAGTGGAGACTTGGATGGCTGCACCAATTTGAGCCGCAGTTGGTCCTTCGAGGTAGGCAGTCACGGCTTGAACGTCCAGGTCCACTGCCAAAGGTTGATTGATACCAATGTGGAGCGAGTGCATGGGTGGGTGGTGGGGTATGTGAGCTGACATGCGGGCGGGTTGAGAGGGCTGGCGGTGGCCAGGCGGGGCACATACTTGCAGCATGGTCCAGCAGGGCAAGTTGAAGGCCGAGCAAAGGAGTGGCAAGGGTCAGGAGGAGAAGGAGTAGCTGGGGCACAAGGCGGCCAAGTCCTCGGCTCACAGTTGGGCACCCAGCCATGGTGAGTAGTCGCGCGAGCTGGCCGGGCTTGGGCGCAATCTATGATCAGAGGCAGCCTGTTGGGGCTTGAAAATTCAGTGGCTGTACGGCTGGACTTCTGCTGAGCAAGACCAGCGTGGGGAAGATGGCGGTGAAAGGGCAGCGGTGGTGGAGGTCAAGTCAGTTCTGTTGGAATCGAACCTTGTTTGAAACAGGCGAGATGGCAGCTGCTCCTGACAGGAAAATAAATGGATGGAGAGAGCCTTTGATGGTGATCCAACAAGCGCGGGGTGTGTGTGTGTGACTCGAGGGTGGCAAGAACTTGTCCAGCTGCCAGGTAGGGTTGAGAGAGCATCCGTCTACCTCATGTGTCCCTCCCTCAGTCAGTTCCGTGTGTGTGTGTGCATGTCGTCACATCCAAATTTCGGTGAAATTTGGCGTCCGCTGCACACACATGCATACATTTTGAGAGAGAGAGAGAGAGAGAGAGAGAGCGCGGAATGTATTCGAGTATGTGTGTGTGTGGTGTGTGCACGTGTAGATGTGTATTGGGCTGTGCAAAATCTACAGGTGTCATCGTCATCGAGAGAGCGAGAGAGGAGAGAGAGGAAGAGCTCGTGGTTTTCGAATCTGTTTGGGGCGTGTGGTTGTGGGACAACAGGGAGAGAGAGGGAGAGAGAGGGAGAGAGAGAATGAGAGAGAGAGAGAATAGCGTTGTGTGGGTGGAGCGGCGTAGGGTGTGTTCAGGCGGACATGGGCAGATGAGATGAAGTGTGTTGGTGATGGTGTCCGATTCGATGGAAATCCTGATTGGACCTACATCGATGACGGCGCTCCACAGCTCCGGTTCCAGCCATCGAGGTTCGCGACGCATGACGTCACGACAAGGCGCGCGCCACATGCATGCGGGCACACATATGCTGTGGTGAGCCCTTCGTGGTATTGCTTTGTTTTGGAGATGAGTTTTGCATCAACGGCAAGGCGGAAAAAACGTGAGGGGCCGTCTTCGCAACCGCGTGGCTCGTCCTTGGAAAACGCCTGGTTTGGGTTCGTTTTTTAAATTTCACGAACACCGATTAAATTTTGAGGAATGTCAGATAATACGATGACACAAACCTGTCAGAACAGGTTTAGGGACCGCGTCAGTTTCGCTGCGAAATGGCGGCAGCACCCGTGGCCGCCGGGTCACCCATGGAGGTGGCTGCGGACGACGGGTTTCAGCATGAAGATCAGCCTCAGGATACGGCCGTACAGGAAGAGCCGGAGGAATCCGCACCCCAGCCCAAGGTCGGATCTCTTGTGCTGCCCCACTCGCAAAGTCCGCGCATATGATCCTGTCTGCGTGCAGCCTCGCAAACACTCACGCCAAGATCACCATCATCTGGCTTGGGGTGGTGCCGCAATAGCTTCGTGTTGTCATGATTGTCGATAAAACGCATACCCAGGCATTCAAAGACATTATCAGCGATACCGTGGCCAGGTTCAGCGACATGCAGCTCACCTTTGTCGACCTGGGTCCGGTACGTGCGGGTCTTTCTGTCGCCGTGCCATGGCTTCTCAACCGCAATTTTCTGGCCGCTTCGCCCATGCACCACTCATGCTCTTACTGTCTGTGCACCGGATCTAGCTGGACTACGGCAAAAAGGATGAGCGCACCCTTGTGTACAACAACGACATCCTTCTCGCTGACATCAGCAATGACGAGACTCGGGCCAACCTACTGTACTTTATCAACGTTCGCCTTTCACGACCCGGGTAAGACGATGCATTGCTCATGCTGCTCGAGGCAAGCGGTGCGACACAAAGGCGACGCGTGCCAATCATCTTATCTTCTGCGTTGTGGCATGGCTGGTGACACAAAGTGCCAATGTCGCCACCCTCTGTGATGTCAAGCACGGCGCCTACATCAAGACCTTGGCAAAGAAGCAAGAGCACATGGTCATTGAGTACCACCCAAAAGACATTGCGACCTCCGAGAGCCAGGCGGCACGAAAGGTAAACTCATCTTCATAGCACACAATGCAGGTACAATGTGGTTGTGCACCCTCTGTGCCCTCTCACCTTTGTGCTGGACGACATGTGACCTTGTTATGGCGTAGCTCTCCGACGTGTTATACCGTTATTTGCAAAGCTGCTCCGCCCAGAGCCCCGACGATATCCAGCGCCTATTCCTGCACGTATGTATAATCCCCGTCTCATTTTGCTCTCATCCCATGCCCCCCCCCCTTCTTTTAATTTTTCCGTCGAATGAAACATGAACATAACAACACGACAAAAGTATCAAATTCGCAAAGTGAACGTGCACGATGGCCTGCTCTCCGTTTTGTGCGTGGCGGAAATTTGCCGATAGCGCGTCCAAGAGCTGGGTCAGGTGGATGCCACCTATTATCAAGACAAACTCGATAGGTTATGTACCGAGTTTGATGAAGTTGGTCCACTATGTACCGCCTCAGCCCTGCCCACCTTTCTGCCGTGCTGATGGCAGATGCGCGCCTGCCCCGCCGCTTTCTTTTGCATCGCCCTTACGTTTGGCCTTCTTCTTGGCACTCGGGGTTCGTGGTATTCCGAACCATACCACTAGAATGAAGAGTTGATGGAGGCCAACATCCTCCACGCGCTCACCTTGGCCTTGCGCGACGCCAAGCGCTACGACAAGATCATCGAGCTCTTTGACGCCAAGGAGAAGGCACTCGGCTTGAAGGTTCCCAAAGCGGTACGCGCAAGCGTCTGACGCGCCTCTGTCTACCATGCGCGCCTCTGTCTACCATGTTCTCCTTTGCCTCGGTTTTTGGCTTTTGTGCTTCGTGCTCTTACTGCTCATCTCGCCTCTGGAATGCCTTCTCTGACCTGCATGTGAACTTGTCGTGCGCAATTCTAGAGCATGATTGTGACAGAACTGCAAACCCTTTATGCAACTGCGCACATTCGCAAGCCAGAGCCCGATCTGGAAAAGGCCCGTGATGTCATGGAAGAACTGGTACGCTCGCTGTAGAATCCACTGCGTCGAGGCGAGCGCACCGGGCTGGCGCGGTCGAACCTGGATGACGTTTGATCATGTCCTTGGTTGGCAGGTTCTGGTGGGCGAAGAAGAGCGCACGTGTGACGTCATTAGCATGATGGGCCGCATCTATAAAGACATGTACAGCCGCGACCAAGGCGATGAGGAAGCTGCCCGCAAGGCCCTAGATCTAGCTATCAAGTGGTATGGCAAGGCCTATCAGCTCGACAAGAGTGCATATCCCGCCATCAATCTGGCCTCGCTCTTGTACATTAGTGGCAAGCGTGTGCATCGCGACGAGCAGCTCAAGGTCAGGCCAATGGCTGTCCTTGTTCAAAGACTCCCCTTTTGTTTACGCGCATGACTTTTGCTGCTCTTGATGCCGTCATTTCGCCTCATGTTTTGCCTCCTGTGACACGCACAGGAGCTTTGTGATCAATTGAGCATTCTCATGGGGAGCAAGGTAGGCCCTTCGTCAGGCTTGTTCCTAGTGATTTTGGCCATGATCCACGTTCTTTTTGACGGTCTAGAATGCCTGCTCATGTTCGGTCCGATCGACTTTGCATCGCAGGGAGACTTGGGTGACATTGCTGATTACTGGGACGTGGCCACCTGGTTTGAGCTCAATCTGATCAAAGAGGTACTTCTCGCGCCCACACTCGCGCAAATTTCCTTGACGCCGTTGTCTAGCCTGATTGATCACTCGCCAAGCTCATGCATTTGTGCTACGCTACACGCCATCTCGCCGTATCTTGCTGTTGGGCTCTTTCCAAAGGCGTTTCATAACTGCATGCGCGCGGCTGTCCACATGTTCAAGCTGGCCCCACCTTCCTTTGCCCTTCAATCTACGCTGGCCAATTGCAAGTTGATCCAAAGCAGTCGGTCCGTAGTCTCCAGAATCACTTTTTAATGCGCCCGCACCTCTGCATACCGGCCCACAGATGCAAGTTTGCCTCCTCAGCTGCCTCACGGCTCGACTTTGGGATTTGTTGTTTGTCGGGCGGGCGCGATGATTTCGCAGCGACGATGAACAGATCAACCTACCTCGTCGAAGAGCGCAAACGCAGTTTCAGGTGAGCATGCCCCAGACTTGCCCGTGACCTGCTGCGCGAAGCAAGCCGCTAGCTCATTTGAAATCCGTCTCAGCGTGGTTATGAGGCATGGACCAAATTTTTTGGTGCAGCGGCGCAAAGCTCCTCTCACGATGGCGGTGTCAAGTCGATCTCTGAAAAGCGTGCCATGCACGTCGTTTTTATTCATGGCAAGGTCACGGATGAACAGCAGTATCAGATCTGCGAGTAAGTCTGATTGTGACATATTTTTGTTGGGAGATCAAGTTCAGGGTCGTTTCGCGTGAGTCCCCCGCTCCATCTGACATCTGATGTTTGTGCAGGCTGAACCTCAAGGAGAACGATGAAGGCACTCTTGAAAAAATACTCTTGTCAAACCAAACCATTGTTGAGAAAGATGATCATACCATCGAATCGGCCACCTTTGCCAATGGGGAAACCATCATGGATGTCAAGGACGTGCTACAGGACCACATTGACGTCTTGCAGCTTCAACGGGTGACGCGTAATGAGCACCTTAAATATGCTTCACTGCACATGTAGGCCGTTCCTTGTCCGGTTGCCGGGGGTGTAGCTGACACTGTGTGGGCTGTTGCGTTAGGCTGTGAGCGCACTTCACGAGTCCTTGCTTATAACTGTGATAGTACTACTCGTTCGTACGAGTATCGCCTGGTCTTTCCGAGCTTGGCATACCGTGACAGCATCTTTGAGCAGCTCGTTCCTTTCACCCCGGAAGAGGCGTAAGGCCATGCCCATCCTGCCCCATTTTCTGCCTTGATTTTATTTTTATTCTTTTCTCCCTGATTTTTTATGGGCGGGTCCATCCTTGTCCCTCTGCCATCTTGTCGACGAGCCTGGCCCATATGCTCACACGGAGTGACATTTTGCACAGTCGAGCGCCTCGTGTTGAGTTTGATATCAAAGAGCCGTGGGACTTTATGTCAAACCGAGACCGTAAGTTGGCTTTGGTAGCTGGTCATTTTAGGAAGGTCCAGACTATATGGTTCTTCAACGTTGGACTCATGTTTTTTTCACCATCGGCCCATAGAAAAGCGCATCATGCTGGGCAAGGGTGGTTATGGCGCAGTGTTCAAAGGCACATTCGGCAAGTTGAAGACCCCGGTACGATAGGCATTGCTCGCACTGCTTTGCGGCGCTGGTCAACGCATCTCGCTCTGCTTGAGCAAACTCGGGGGAATGATTGTGTTGACGACTAGGTGGCAATCAAGGTCATTCCACTCGCGGGCAAGGACATGTTTGATCGCAAAAACCATTTGGAGGAAGCGCGACGTCATCAAACGTGGAGTCATCGCAACATCATCAAATCCCTGGGTTCGGTCGTGAAGACAAACGATCTGCACATTCTCATGGAATACGTGCGTGCCCTGCTGGGCACGGCTAGATTTTTGATGTCTTGCAGCTGATCGCCAGCCCTCATTAACGCTGCGCTTTGATGTTAATTCTTGCCGCACTTTGATGTTAATTCTTGCTCTCGATGGTCCTAGATTCCTGGCGGCTCCCTGCAAGATTTGTGCAGCATGCAGAGCACCCGGCGGTTGCTGCGCATGAACCTGCAGCACGCGCAACGTATAACGCGCCAACTTGTTGAGGTGAGGGGCTCGCACTTTGCAAACCTTTATCCACATTGTTTTCTCCGATTTATTTTATTTTTTATTTTATTTCCCGTGCCTGCTTTTTTCTTGAATAAATAGGGCCTCGATTATTTGCACAAGTCCGATGTGCTGCATCGCGACATCAAGCCTGGTTAGCCCATTCTGGCATAGTATTGCTGGTGTCTCTTTCCACGAGGCGTTGAGGGTTGATGGCTCATTGAGGGTGACTTTGCAGACAACGCCTTGATCAACATGTATAACGGCATGGTGAAACTGATTGATTTTGGCCTATCCGTCTCCCTTGGCGGCGTGCACAGCCGTCATCGAGATGTCACAGGCACTCTTCGGTATGCTTGGTTTATGCTGACGCAGTAGCTTGCTCGCCTGAGCTATTATCCCTTGTCTTTTGCTGACCCTTGGGTTGAATCTCTGCACTATCACATATCATTAGTTACATGGCGCCCGAGCGCATCAACAGCATGCGCGGCTACAACAAGTCGGCAGACATTTGGAGCATTGGCTGTACCGTGCTGCAGCTGCAGACCGGTGCCATGCCCTATGCCGAAGTCGGACAAAACGGCTTGTTTGTCTTGAGGGTACGTCAACCAAATTGACTACCGCATCGCCGGAAGCTCGGGGAAGGGGTGCGTACCCGAGCATATCCAAGCATTGACGACACTCTGCGTGGCTCTGTAGATGAAAAGTGAGAATCAGGTGCCGACGATTCCGGCAGATACTCCAGAGTTGTTGAAAAACTTTGTCTGCTGCTGCCTCAAGGTCAATCCTGATGAGCGCCTTTCGACCACGGAGGTTTGTCCTCGCGTCCTCCCTTGGCATACGGACAGCCCCGCCGCAAGCCCTGCCATCATATCAGTCATGTTTTCCACCAAGTGCTGATGATCCTGATGCGTTGCGTAGCTGCTCGAGGACCCCTTCATCAGGGATCATCATCTGCCGTAAGTACTGTTCTGCAACCTGTCCCGGGCACAAATAGGCCTTCAGATGTGTCCACCAATGACTTGACGCTCTGCGACGATGCTGGTTGTTATTGCACAACACGTGTGCATGCGCTCATGGCTCTCATGTGCAGACCAGAGCTGATGGCAGATGATCCGACGACTCGAAAGACACAGCTTCGGGCAATGCATGAGCTGTTGCACAAGTGCATCGAGGATCGCCAAAGCGGGTTGCTGCAGACCTGGCTCACCACGAGTGCGTAGACGCCTGCGGGTGCACTTGTGGCTTGCTGTGCTGGTCGCCCGTCTTCTTCGCCTCGTCTTTTTCTTTCAACTTTTTCTTTCAAGATGTCATCCACATCTCCATCCACATCTCCATTTTCATCCACATGCACATGCACATGCTCTTGCCACATGTCGTTTTTGGGTCTCAATGGTGTGCGGGGCCTTAGTGACGCAAAAGACGGGCATCACGGAAGCAGGCAGCGTCCGTCCGCTGACGCAGGACTGCGGCAAGCGCCTGCTCGAGGCACTGCGAGAGCATCAACTGAGAAACGACCACCTGCACACCAAGCGTAAACTCGCACTTTCGCCCGAAACAGAGGATCTGGACCTGATTCAGGCGTCTGTGCCCGTGTTGAAGGAGGTATGACGTTTGCCGTGGTAGCGATCTCTGGATGATCCTCTGTTTTTTTTTTTTTTTTTCCTTCCAGCGTTTCCGGCAGCAGGAAGTTTGTGTGTATCACCAAGGTGTTTGTGTCGCACGCTGCAGACCATTTTGAATGAGTTGGTGGATTATTTGGTGGAGAACAAGAAGGTGGATTTTGCACCTCACTCGTTCATGCTCATTGAGCATGACCTGGATGAGACTCTGGAGACATTGGAGCAGATTATAGCGCAGCAGTCGGCCAACACCAGCTCACAAGAGGAAGGCTCTGTTCCAGCCGGACCCTCACGCCGACTAGTTGCGGCTACCACGGTATGTCAGTTTGGCTCGAGACCTAAATCGCATCCAGCGGCGATTTGGTCCGTGGCAGGACATCACACAGCTACCTTGTTGCAAATTTTAGGTTCCAAGCGCCAGCGCAGCCCCCCGGCCCAAGCTTACAAAGCTGATGTCGGTGGACGACACGTTCACCAAAACTCGAGCACCACCCTTACACAGGGGGGCCTACTCATCACTTCAGCAGCTCCTGAACGAGGCGCACTGCCAAGCTTTTGCTTCCCGCTTTGCGGAGGAGGACGTTGACTTGACCGTGGTCCTAACACTGGTGGACAAGGACGATCTCCAGCTACTGGTGCCCAAGCTAGGCCCCCGTCTCCGTCTTTGGGCTTTGATTGTGGCTCATCGCCAAAGCAGCCAGTCTCCACAATCATAGTCCCCCACCCATAACAGACCAAAAAAATCAAAGCTCGCTACCAATTGTGCTTGATCTCAAATTGTCAGCAGGTCTCGAGCGCCCTTGGACTCACCTCTTGTTGTACACGTAGTTGCCGCTTGTCTTGTTGTGGTTATTGCGGGTGGTAAGCGGTGTTGGCTTGGATTTACATGGATGTTTTTGAAGTAAAATTGGTCATTTAAGCAGCTGTGAAAACTGAATAGCAACAAGGTAAACAACAAGCGAAAACGAGAGAGAGAGAGAGAGAGAGAGAGAGAGAGAGAGAGAGAGAGAGAGAGAGAGAGAGAGAGAGAGAGAGAGAGAGAGACAGCGCGCGCGAGAAATTGGGATCATCATCAAGCGTCAAACGGCAGCGCCTCTGCTCCGTCCACCAGGGGCGCAGCTGGGAAAGAGCATGGTCTCAAAGGGTACGGGTTGAGAAAGTGAAGGGCGAGCTCTTTTGTCTCGCTAGTGATCGTCTCTAGGACGAGCCAATGCGAATGTTGTCGATCTTCTTCTCAATGTGTGCTCCTGATTCGGCTCCACAACAGGCATTGCCGGCCCCTAGGCTGGATTGTCCTTGATCTGCGCAGCTCTTGTGCGTGTGTGTGTGCGTGTGTGTTTGTGTGTACACAGGCGGTTGTTCTGGGTCCATTCCTCGCATACGTCATGGCTGCCCAACGACAAGCGCTCACTGAGCGTTTGAAAGTAAGTCCTGGTTGTATCATGGAGGCCAAAGGCAGGTCGCTGCTTTTTTTTTATTTTTATTATTTGGGCGGGGGCGGTGGAGGGGCTGGCCTCATTGTCAAGCATGGTCCGATGCCTTTCCTTGCCTTCACAGGTCTTTGCCGAGGAGCATCCTGATGGCGTGACCATGGACGCTATATTGCGGTCGGTACCTTTACCCGAGGAAGGTAACCCCAAGTTGATTGGCGCCAAACTGATTCCCCTGATTAAGCGACATATGCGGCAATTGGAAGGGACCAATTTGTTTACGTGGAAACAGACGCTTGCCGAGCGCAAATCCACAGCGTCCATGAACCCACCTCCACCCCCGCCTGCGGAGGCACCGGCATCGGGGGCAAGTGAGTCCAGTCTACCTGACTCTGATGTGGCCAAGCCTGCCATTCCCTCCGCTGCCCCACCCGCCCCGCCTTCCGCACCAGCCGCGGAGGTTGCCTCGGGCGTCCGCCCCACTCAGGCGTCATCTGATGGTCCCACTTCAATGCATGCGGTTCCCGAATCGAATGCCAGTGCAACCCTTCAAGCCAGTAGTTCAACACCTGTTCCGGAGCCTGTTGGTCCTGCTGTGGTGCCCGTGAGGCCTCCACAACACGCCCCGCCTGGCCCTCCCCAGTCGCCAAAGTATGCACCGCCCGAGCCCCCACAATCGCCAAAGCATGCACCGCCCAAGCCCCCGCAGTCGCCAAAGCATGCGCCGCCCGAGCCCCCGCAATCGCCAAAGCATGCACCGCCCGAGCCCCCGCAATCGCCAAAGCATGCGCCGCCCGAGCCCCCGCAATCGCCAAAGCATGCGCCGCCCGAGCCTCCCCAGTCGCCAAAGCACGCCCCGCCTGGCCCCCCCCAGTCGCCAAAGCATGCACCGCCCGAGCCCCCGCAATCGCCAAAGCACGCACCACCTAAACCCCCCCAGTCGCCAAAGCATGCGCCGCCCAAGCCCCCACAGTCGCCGGTGCTCCCGCCTTCAGAGGCAGCCAGCGATGCGGCCTCCGAGCTCAGCGATAGTCTTCCCGAGCTCAACGAGAGCCGGCCCCGTAGTGGTGCCATGGCCACATCACGGCCGGCGGCCCAGTCTGCCAATCCCGAAAAGGTGGAGCTCTTGTCTGCCCTCGAGGTTTGTTGAGCTATGGAAAGGCATTCAGCAGTCGCTGTTCTTGTTCTCAGTTCTTGATCATGTCAGTGGCACCCACACGCTTCAACTCATGCAGCTTGGTGCAGCGTGTTGCCAACGAACATCCCAAAGGTATCACCCTCAGCGCCATTCTAAACAAAGTTGGCGAGCAGAGCCATCACGACAAGATGGCTCTAGGGCGTCTACTCACGCCCTTGATTCAGACTCACATGGAATCAACTGATGGTGGCCAAACCTTTTGCTGGTGCGTAAGGTGACATTGCTGGCGTCCGAGAGCCGTACCTCAATGCTGGTCAATGATGACCCGTCGCCCTTGTTCATCGCGACCTTGTTCATCGCGGCCTTGTTATCGCGGCATCATAGGCGCGCTGGGGCCTCGGCTGCCGCCGGCAGCCCCGATCAAGATGAATCTGCCGCTGATGTGACCATAGTTGCCCCCTCCACGAGCACCGCGTAAGCTTCTTTGCCTCCGCTCGTGCCCATCTCTCCCCGTAGTGTTAACGTCCTCTTGTTTTGCACCACTCACTTGACTTGGCCACCGATTTGCGTGTGACTTTTCATGCTGTTGTTTGTTTGTCTGTGTGTTGCATCAACTGCGACCATGTCCATGCAACACGCAACGTTTGTGAACGTGAATGGGCAGAGTGGAGCCACCGACCATGGGCCATGATCCTGATGCTAGCTTTGTCAGCGTCGCTTCCACTTATGATTGGCGCCGTAAGTCTGCCATATCCTGGGCTGCGGGAGCCGCGCCGCCTCGCCTTTTCCATTCAGTCTGACATTCTTTTCAGCTCATCCTTGCTGTGTTTGGTGGCTTTCATCTGTACCATCCCTGCACACGACAAAGGTATACGACATCATCATCGAGCTCGTCGCCAGTTGTATTTTGATCAGGAGCAGCGTGAAGCGTTGCGCCAAAAGGCGCTTGAGCAACGCGATGTCACGGGTGCCGCAGTTCGACGGGGCAGTAATTTTCTCTCAGTTTCTCAGATCCAAGGTGGCCCTCCGGGCGATGATGAGCGTTTGCCGCTGCCCACGGTCAGTCAACACACGCCGTGATTATCAGGAGCAAGGTGGTGCTTTCTGGCTGAATGGACCGGCTATGGGCCGTGTTTCTCGCACTTGCTGACCGGTTTGCTGTCTGGCCTGGTATCTTGTCTTGGGTGCGTGGGGCCATTTGCAGCCACAATATGAGCTGACCTTTCTGCGTGCCGTCATGAGAGGCTGGATTGAGTCGGTGCAAGATGCCATCAAAGAGCATCCCGATCTCCTGCTGGCCAAGTCTTCCCACAATGGGTACACAGCCCTGCACTGGGCCGTGGTGAAGAACCTCCCACAGTTGGTGGTCATCTTCGTGCAATATCCTGAGCAATGGGTTCAGCTCGTGCAAGCTCGCAGCTTTGGCGGCTACACCCCGTATCAGCTCGCCTTGGCGCGCAACCGTGCTGAGATGGCGGATCACCTCTTGCAAATTGGTACGGCCACTTGTGGGATTGAGTTCGGGTCGTCACTTGCACGTCGGACCATAGCAATAGCACTTTCTGCTGGACCGCTGCCTTTTCATGCCAGTGCTAAATCAGCACCTCCATACTTACTCAATCCGTGCTTGCATGTAGCCTCATCTGCTGCATCCACCAAGTCATTGCACATCGAGAAGGCACCTCGCAGCTTGGCCTTGGACGACAGCACGGGGAGCGACCTTTTGCCTCGACTCGGCAGGCGCGAGCATCGATACTCCTTTGCACAGGTTTCCACGACGGACGAGCCCTCGCAGCAGACTATCGATGGCAATGCCGACACTGTTCGTGGGCGGGCCACAAGCGTCCTCTCTCGTACGTTTTTCTTGTAGCTCTTCGCTTGGCCTTGCCTTTGCTCACGCACCTGTGCCAAGATCGTGAACGTTTGGGTGATGCGAGTACATGTTGACAATGGGGTGGCAACCGGATGCGTCGGTTGGCGTCGTAGGTGTACGAGCAAGCACGCGCAACTTTTTCAAGCGTGACAAGCCGAGTCGTCGCAAACAAGATGGCGGCCCACCGGACAATACCGGCGCACGTACTTCATTTTCCAACCCACATCAAGAAACACCGCGTCAACGTGCCGTGACCATGGACACACCTTTGTTGGAACGTCAGCGTGGTATGGGCTTGGTGCATGGCTTGCTTTGTACGGCCCGTGCCCTGGCCCTCCTGCCGTACGCCACTCACACGTGCTGATGGATCCGCCAACACTAAGGTGCATTGACATCCCCGCAAAACGAGTTGATGCACATTCGTGGCATTCGTACTGCACGGGTTGGTTGCGCGTGGCTCTTCTGTTCGTAGCGATGGCGGAGCGGAAGACGCCAAACTTGACTCACCAAAAATATCACTGTTTTGACTCCCACAATTGGCAGCAAGAGAGCTCGATGCGTTTACGCACGCGATCACAAGATAAAATCGTGCTGGAACCCGCGGAGGTCATACCCTTGGCGCCAGCCAACGGCGACGACGCTGCATTTGTCGGTCCCGACGGAACCGAGTCAAACACAGATGAGCATCAGATTTCCCACACTCGCGAGGCAGCAGAGACGGACGCGCCCACAGAGAGTGTGGTCGATGACGGTGATGTCAGCATGGGCAGCAGCATTGGTAGCAGCATCGATCACGGTCAAGCGCCTTCCCCTGCCAAGGCGGGGGCGCCTGCGCCGCGCATGACGCTGGATGATCACAATGACTTTCGTCGAGGCGATAGCAACTCCTCAGGCGCCAGCCCTGGGTCCTCATCTGGTGCTTCGGGTCGTGGCCAATCCAAGCTCTCCAATGTCCAGACTTCTGGCAGCTCTTCGGTGCGTTTCCTCGCGGTGGCCCGCTCATCCATCATGAAAGAAAGAGAGGGAGCCGCCTGGTCTCTTTACGCCGCGTCATTCACTTTGGCGCGATGCTGCTTTTGCTGGGCTCATTTGGATCATCACAGTCATTGCGTCGTTCCGACTCGAATCGTCGTCGCCTGCCCAAGCGTACGACCAAGACCTCGCGCCTCACGCTCAACCTGGAGGGCGTGTCCGATGAGACGGATGTAGACCGCCTTGCAGGACCCAATTCTCACAGCAAAGCCAAAGCCGCGCTAGAGGGCTCGCATGCCGACTTTGGTTCAGCCTCGTAATCTTTTTTTCCTATGATGATGCCGTCTGTTGCTGTGCTCCCTCGGGCTCCTTGGCCTTGGCCCTTCCACAAATATCATTGCGATGCTTGTTAAACCTTCCTTCCATGGTAGTACCCGCTCCTGTTGTCCATACGAGTGCTCCGCTCCTGTTATCAACCATCCGAACCCAATCATGGGCAGCGAAGGCAGTGAAAGGTCTTGTCTGGCGGGTGTGAGCGTCAATAGCTTTGCGGGGAAAAACCATGGTGGTAACATACAAATCTTTCCACCAGCTTAATTGGCTACTTCCTGACCCCCATAACGGTCGGTTGGTCATGTGGCTTTGGCTATTGTTATCAAGCTATTTTTTTAAGTTCAATTCATTCAGACTTTCACGTGGACCCAACTCACCGTTGTTTTTTATCTCTCGTTGTTGTTGTTGTTGTTGTATTTAAAATTTTCTCTTAACGATGATGCAGAGGAGACTGGCACTGACACTGGCACTGGCCCGACGGTGCTCTGTTGGTACCGGGGTACAGCAGTGTGCCCGCTGTTTGGCCACTGATTCAGACCCCGCTCCCGCTTCCGCTCCCGCTCCTGCCCCGTCGGGCTCCGTCGACTATCAGGTGCGGATTTTTTTCCGGTAGTGGCATTTTCTGCCACATTATCCAACGCTGGGTCTGGGGTTGCCGCTTGCCCGCTTCTCGGCCCTGCATCCGATCACCCTCGCCGTTGCCACCACTGTCGCCATGGCTGCCCTTGGATGCCACTCTAGTTGCCCGCCGCCTCGTGGTCGGTGCACGATCTCGTCCAGCGGGCGCGAGACAGCCCCGACAGCAGCTGGTCCGACGCCGACGTCCTACGCTTGGCCCGGCTGAGCGCTCTCCACGTGAACCAAGCCGACTTGCCCACCTTTAAGGCAAATCTGCAACAAATCGACGCCTTTGTGGCTCAAGTTCAAGACGCTCCCATCGACGATACTGTTGAGCCACTGGTCGTCTTGGCGTCACGGTGCGTGTCATCTCAAACCAAGGAGGCGACTCGACCAGCTGAACCAGAATATTCAGAGGCAGCGTTGCCTCATGATCTGCGCTATCATTCTTTGAATGCAGCGTTGCCTCATGATCTGCGCTATCATTCTTTGAATAGAACGACTGAACTTCGTTCCGATGAACCAGCACCCACGTTGAGTGCGGAGCAGCTGCCTCGTCTTGAACATGGTTTCTTTCACTCGCCACGCGAAGCTTCTTTTCGCATCAACGATGCGACTGACGGAGCAGCCGATGACGCGCCGGCCGGTTAACCAGCGCATCTTCATCGTACCTCGACGCCTGCAACACCAGCGTCCCGACGTGAGCAACAAGCAACACCGAGTTTTGAAGCAGCTTCGTGCTGCACAAAATAGCAAGGACGCAGCCATCATTGAGAGCTTTTCCGTATTGACAACTGCATTGGAGCATGGGTTTGTGCCCACTCTCGTCTGCACCACACCACCACGACAAGCATCTATCGCTGCCCTCTTGGCCAAACACAACGTTTCAACCCACATTTGGACAGTGGACGAGTCTATTTTGCGTCAGCTCATGCTGCAGCCTCGCTTTGAGCCCCTGATTGCTACTGGTATGTTCAAGTGCCGGCTGGAGTTTTGGTCGTGTTTTGTTGCTCGCTGTCATTGTCCCATGGTTTTGCATACCGGAGTGCTCTGCCGCCTCGAAAAAAACACCACGGCTGGCATGGAGTACTTCAAGAGCTCTCGTATGCGCATATTGAGTCTGTGTGATTGTATGCTGTCCAATCCCGACCAAAGACCTCCCATGTCGTGGATTGTAGTACCCAAGTCTAGTCATACATTTCGTTTCTTCACATCACCTTTGGAAGTGATGCGTGCTCCCATGAATGTGTGTGCTCACGTCGCTTGCCATGGCCTTTTTGGTTACGTAGGCACCGCGTCATTGACACCCGCCCCTGCCGATTGGCGTCGACTCGTCGTCGTTGCTGCCCAAGATCCCCACAATGTGGGCTCAATAGTCCGCACAGCGCTGGCCTTTGGTGCAGATGCAATCTGTGTCTGGGACGGAGCGGCTCAGCCCTTGACGGCTGCAACAATCAAAGCCAGTGCTGGCCACGTTTTTGCGGGACGCTTCTTGTCTCCGACAGAGGTCCTAAGGGCCGCGCGATCGACGGCAAGCGAAGTTGCACCAAGCACCTTATGGACGGCTGCAGAGGCACATGCGCCATCATCGTGGTCACATCGGCAACTTGAGGATGTGGCTTGGCCGCATCGTCGCGTGCTGGTTCTGGGTCATGAAACTCGGGGTGTGCCGCGAGATCTGCAGCCATTTTGCCAGCCTGTGCACATTGCTATCCATCCAGGTGTAGAGAGTCTGAGTGTTGCAGCCGCGGCTGCGATCCTTTGCGACAGGGTGTTCGCATTTGAATGCGCGAAGCAAAGCCACTGAGTGGCCACAGCTTCAATTGAACGTGAAATCGAATTTTTTTGAATATTAAGTCCTGACAGTGGTATGACCCAGCTGAGTGAATGAATAATCATTGATATGTCCTGTGTGCATGTGTGAGGTGAGGTACGCATGTGTGAGGGCAAATGAGCACCTTGTGTGCCATCAGGACATCAGCGGTTGCCAGGAAAAGAAAGATTGTAACTACCAAGATCGATTTGAGTTGATTGATTCAGGAAAAAAGGCTATCACATTGAAACTCAGGGAAAAACGAAAACCAAAACATTTTCAGAAAACGGAGTTGATGAGGATGAGCAAGACTCCTCCCATGTCACGCAGGTGTCATGGCCAGACTGCTGATAGCCGGTTTGCAGGGGTCAGACAAACTAAAATTGCAACGAGGCTCGTCGGCTAGTTTCGAAACGCCGACGCTCAGCCATGCGCAGGGCTGGTTCCATGTGGTACTTGACCTGCGGTGCCTGGAAAATGCTCTTGTCGTTGGTCAGCTGCTTAATATAGGGGCCGAGGGAATTAAAGTACGGGTGCTGCATTGCCTTGACGGCGGACACGCTATCCCACCGACGAACCATGACGGTGAGTACAAAACAGACTGTGGGGGGGGGGGGGTGCTCAAACTGTGTCGTGACGTTCCAAACTCACCGGCCGTGCGGATCCAGCTTAAGGAGTGACTTCAAGAGTGCACCACCTTGCTTGTCCAGACTGCTCACCACAAAACCACAAAGCACGCAGCACACATCGGTGTGGTCAAGGGAGATCCAAGGCAAATAAGTTGTTAAAGCGCCCGTTTGCAATGCAAACTCGGGTCGTACCGGGGAAGAATGGCATTGACGGGTTGTGGGGAATATGCCCCCAGCTCATTGGACTTGGCTTCTGGCAAGGCCATGACACCGGGCCAGGTGCTCTGCGATTAAAAACAGTTGCGTTAGAAATTCTGCTGCAAGACTGTAGGTAGATCGGATAAAGCAAAGCAAGACATGTGTGTGTGTGTGTGTGTGTGTGTGTGTGTGTGGTGAGTTGGGAGGCGAGGAACAAACGAAAAAACAACAACAATCACGACACAAAGCAAGGCAGACCAGAGAAGGCCAGGACAGACGAGCGAATGTAACAACGGGCAGACATGGGCACAAACCTCCGAGGGCGAGCCGAGGGTTTTAAAAATGAGCTCAAGTTGATCAGCGTTGGTGGCCCCAGGGAACATGGGGCGACCGCTGATCATCTCGCCAAAGATGCAACCGACTCCCCACATGTCAATATCACCCGAGTAATCCACCGAGCCCAACAAGACATCTGGCGGGCGGTACCTGTGCGGACAAGAAGATGCGGTGATGAAACAAGTTGCGATAGTCCGAAGAAGCGGAGGAAGCCCCAAAAAGGACAGCAAAAGCACATGGTGCATTTAACGGCAATAATCATCTCGACAACGGTTTGAGCTTGTCCGTGGGGCCTGAACCTACCAAAGGGTCACAACTTCATTGCTATAGGTCTTGATGGGAACTGACTTGGCACGAGCCAACCCTAAGATTTGCATGTGCGTTGCCCTCCAGCGTGAGAGCCCGGCACCTTTCAGCTGGCCAGGTGGTGTGTGCGAGCTTGGCTCTACGCACCGAAATCTGCCAGCTTGAGCTCTCCAGCATGGTTGATCAACAGGTTTTGGGGCTTGAGATCACGATGCAGCACCTGCAAATGCATCATGCCAGCAGAGCCAACAAGTGACTTTTGACGCTGCTTGCATACCGCGTGTCAAGATGTGGCTCATCCATCTGAAATTCTGGTGCTTGATAAACACACCTTTCTTGAATGGCAAAAACCGACACCACGCAGAAGTTGAAAGAGAAAGAGTTTGGCGTTGCGCAAGTCAATGTAGCTGTTGCAGTCATCCATGTAGGCTTTCAGATCCTTACTCTGTCGGATCCCAGACCAGATCAGACAGATTAGGGAAAAAGCGGCTGGGTCCGGACATCCATGGGTGGGAACCGAATGATAGGTAACAAAGAACGACCCGCGGGTACACCCCAGGCAACGCACAAGGAATTCAAAGACCATAATAAGATTGTCCTTGGTGTGAATCACGTCGTGAAGGGTTACGATGTTGGCATGCTTGAGGCCCTTGAGCAGCGAAACTATCGGAACAAGCAGGGCCATGAGCCAAGCTCTGAGCGTTTCATCGCTGCCCTTGTGCTCGTCTATGGTGGTGGCCCGGCCTGAACGAAAGCAACTCGGGTGCCACAAACCTTCGCGAATACCCGTGCAAGGCGCGCCCTCCTCATGTTCGAGGCGAATTTCCTTCAAGGCCACGATTTTGCCGTTAATGTGAGAAATGCCTGTGTGATGGCAATAAGCGTTTACCCACCGCCAATGGTGCACAGATCACGCAAAAGTAAGTTTTGAGTTGATCAACACGGATTAATAAGATGGGAAAACGCACGATCCAAAAGGTCTGTGGCCCACCTTTAAAAACGGTGGCATAGGTTCCTTCGCCCAGTTTGTGAAGTTTTTTATAAGTTGCGACCTGACCAAAGGCAGGTTTCTGCAGCGGCATGACACGAGGGTGAGTCGTTTTGACAAGCTTTCAAGACCAAGACAAATTAACAGAGTTAAAGAAACTGACCGCCGTCGGTGGAATGGCGCCTTCAGGCAGGTGGAAATGCCCGGTGGAAGCACGGCGGGATAAAGTCTGCAGACATGTACATGACAATTGCCAATGATCAGTTTGGGAGGTACACGTCGAAGAGCCTGGTGCAAGGAGAACGAATTGCTGAGTGCACCTTGGTTGGCTTTGTGGCAGGCAAATCTCCGACATCGTCATGGGGGGCGCCGCCTGAGCGTGAAAACCTGCAGGCAAAAAGCATGGCAGTAGCCGAGCGTGACCAATGTAGCGAGAGATCTCCACTGAGCTTCAACACAAAACAAGATGGGCGAACAAACAAGCCAACGCGAGGCAGGGCGCACGTTCGCGAGAGTGTCTTCATGAAGCCGCTGCTTCGGCGACCTTGTCTCCTCGAACCTGTCATTGGTCATTTGCATTCAGGTCATGCAGAGTGAGCGATGTTCGAACCGACGGGTGGTAGTGATTTCGCTCTCAAGCATTGGCGACTGACCATCCAAAGTGCTCATGGCGGTGATGCCGTTTGATCAAAATGCCCCACTGCACGAACGACAAAGGTGTTGCTGGTGTCGACGGCAGGGCAGAAGACACACGATTGGAGTTGAGGGAATGTGCGACTGGAATGTGCGACCGAAATGCTCCTGCATTGACCAAGGATGAGCCAGTTCGCAACGTGAGCTGCAAAATCCGGTGGCAAATTTTGAGGGCGAAAAGGAGATGGTCAGAAATCAAAGCCCACGCTTTGTTCACAACAAAGCAGGTCCCTCTCCCCGGGCGAACCGGCGGGGATGAAGGCGATGGCTTGCTCAAAAAGTCGGGGACACACACACACACACACACACACACACACACACACACACACACACACACACACACACACACACACACACACACACACACACACACACACACACACACACACACACACATGGAAGAGAGCGTTTCAGGCGCGTTGACAGCGGGCAAACCGTTGAAAACGCACCAGGGGGAAAGACTGTGCAGTGTCGAGTCTGACAGCTCTTCCTTTAACGCGCACAGCAATTCTACAGCCCGTTATCGACCGCTATCAGCATCGGCGATCGACACCTGGCAGCGCTGCCATCGGCCGTCTCGGCGACCACAGAGAGAGAGAGAGAGAGAGAGAGAGAGAGAGAGAGAGAGAGAGAGAGAGAGAGAGAGAGAGACAAAAGGAACACGAGAGGAAGCAAGTCTCCACGGAGACTAAGCCAAAGTCGTCAGTCTGTTCAGAGACTCAAATGTCTCTCAACTAGTGACCGTTATCACACACACACACACACACACACACAGAGACAAACATTTGACACGAGCGAGCTGTTGGCTGGTCCGAGTCGGTGCTGCTGCGAAAAAAGGGCGGGTGTTTGTGGTGTTTGTGGCGTTGGGTTGAGCTGGGGGGTGTCTTGTGGGACCGGGGTGTAGGGTGTGGTTGGATTGATTGGCATTGAATGCTGCAATGGCGCCCCTGAACGTGCGTCAAACCATTGCCAAGCGCTTCAAGTCGTACGGCCTCTTGATCACACGGTACGCCGCGTGCTGTGCGCCAGCTTCAACTTGATGATCTGAACCAGTCCCTGATCAACTGGCCTCTTTGGGACACCTTTTTTTGCAGTGATGCTCGAGACTTGTTGGAAGATGCATGCAGCAAAATCCTAGGTGACCAGTCTTCGGCATCTACGCAGCTTGACGAGTTTCTCGAGTCGGTCCTGCAAGAGCTCTTCAAGAGCGATGGTGCGCTGATTCTTCCTGGTGCCCCTCGTTCTGCCAGCGTGGTTGCACCACCAAGACCACTCATCACGCCACATTTTCGTTGCCTTTTTTTTTTCTCATATTTACAACTGCTCTTTTTTTGCAACACAGTTGCCTCTGCCACCGTTGAAGCACAGCACATCGAGGTTGCGCTCGAGCGCATGTCGCCTCAGATGGGCACGAACCGGACCCCGTAGGTGCTAACGGCTTTCTAGCCGCCTGTGGTCGTTTTTCTGCTTTGCACTGAGGGTTTCCGGTTATGTCCTGCTCATTCTTGAAACTTGCGTGGCCACCACGCAGAGCCTCTCTCCTTGAAGTTGTGCCGGCCTTTGAGTACGCTTCGTTCTGCTCTTTATTGGCTCGATCGCTCGAAAGCACGTCGTCATTGCTTTCGTTTTGCCATTGTCTTACTCATCTTTATGGCATTGTCGGTGTTCCTCTCAGAGCACCACGCCTCACCTATTACGTGGACAAGAAGCTCTTTCTCCCGTACGTCTTGCCTTTGGTGACGCTTTGTTGAAGGGCAAATGGGTTTGCTTCTCTCTTATCCCCATCAGTGGGTTCGGACGCGTTGAATCCAATCCGTCTCATGGTGCACCTTAATCTCTTTGCTGTTCAGGCGCGATGAGCCAGCAAGCATTGCTGGGACAGCTGATGCTAAAGCGGTGCTGTTTCGCGACCGATATCACCTCATCCGACAGGTATGCGGGATAGTTCGGCTTTTCGCAAATAGCCATTCTCGGACTCGGTTGACCACCACCATCCATCACACGTGTAGCGTCTGCTGCGTCACCCGGTCTTCGCCGAGGGGCTCATCGATGATCAAGGAAATCTCGTCAAGCAAACCGTATGTTATAGCTTGTTTCGTCACGCGAGTTGCTGATCGCCACACACAAGCGTTGCCCATGCCTTCCACAAATTTGGGCTTGGCCCGCGCGCGTGGCCTTGAATTTTCTTGTCAAGCAGCTCATCTTGGTGTACATCGGTGCCTTTCCAGCTAACACCAATCAACGCACTCATTGCCAAATCAGGTCTGATGCTCGCATCTTCCTTGTCCGTTACTGTCATTCTGATCGAGCCAGCGCGCTGAACTCACGAATGACCACGGCGTGTTTGACTTGCAGGCATGCTCACGGGCCAGCAGCGACAAATTGCGGTTGTGCTCGGCCTCCTGACGCAGATTGACAATGTAAGGCCCCTCCCCTGCCCCCCCCCTGCCCCCCTGCCCTACCAACCTTGTTATTCGTGCTTCTCAATCCACTTTCGCGCTTCACCCCTGGTGCCTCCCTTCTTGGTCACAGGGCAAGCTGGCTCTTGAAGATTTGGACGGTGTCATCAACTTGCACCTTCCTACTCCAGATGAGCTTCGGGCTTTCTACACGCAAACGATGGGCTACAGCGAGGCCGATATTACTCCCGAGGTCCTCAACATTTTTCACGAAGGCCTCTACACTGACAACTGTATTGTCGTCGTTCGAGGTCCGTTTCTGACAGGTCCTTCTGATCCCGATGAGTCTCTTGCATGAGTTTCACCATCTCTGTGCCTCGACGCGCCGGTACACGCTTCAGGCTATTTTGAGGATGGCCGCTTTGTGGCGCTTACCATTGGCATGCCCCCCGCGGAAGCTCGAGCGGACACCCTGGCTGCTTTCCCCGGCCTCAACTTTTTTGGTGGCAGCTACAATCACCGCGATCGCGTACGTTCTGGGCCAACTATTTGTGAAACTTGCTCCTCAAATTTTAATGTTTTCCTTTTCTAGTTTGTTTGCTGGTGATGATGCACGCTTCGCATTCTTTGTTCATCGCGAGCCATATGATTGACTTTGTAGGCGAGCCTGCTGCGGTCAGAGCGCGAGAATGAAGCCATGGTGTGCTTTCTCTCTGATTTCTACCTCGACGATCCAGACGTTTTGCGCAATTTCGACCACATGCTGGCAGGCTTTTCTGCCATCCAGTCCTATCCCACGGCCTTTGTGCTCATGGGCAACTTCTGCAGCGAGCCGCAGCGCAGCGATGTGCACGCGGTCATCCAAGGTTTGTGCCTTGCTGTGCAGAAGGATCGGCGCCTCAACACGGGTCACACATCTCACCTGGCCGGTCCACCTTCATTCCGTCGCTCGCACCCACATCAGACGGCTTCCAATCTCTCATTACGGTTCTTGAAAAGCACCAAGAAGTGCTCCACCGCGCGTGAGTATTCTTTTGACGTGCAACGATCGCCTCCCTCCGCACCCCGACCTCCTTGTCATTTAATGATTGTACTTGCACCGAACTGCCGTGCCTGCCTCACCATGGTCTTCTGCCGACTACAGGAATTTTGTTTTAGTCCCGGGGCCACAAGACCCTGGAGCCGGCAACGTTCTGCCAAGGTGCGTCTTCACTTCAGGAGTCTACATCCTTCATCTGTGCTTCTTGACATTCAGCTGTGGTTCACGCTGTTGGCATGGTCGGCTTTAGACCTCCCTTGCCATCGGCCCTCGTACGCCGTTTCATGACCTTTGTTAAACGAGTGCACAACGCGACCAATCCTTGCCGGTGAGAGCTCGGATCATGTGCGAAGGGACCTGCAATGGTTCTCGACACCGTGTCATTCATTCCTCGGCATGCATCGTTTGTATATTGGCAACTATGGCGTGCATCAGGATACGCTACGGTACACAGGGCATTGTGGTTTTTCGCGACAACATTGTCAACAAAATGCGGCGCAATGTGATGGTCAAGCCTTTTGACAACAACTCGGATGACGAGGACATGTTGCCGCAAATGGTCAGACCCATGGCCTTGGCACAGAAGGCTGTATGGCCACGCCAGCGACTCCTCACTGGTCCATCTCATGCAACGTGTGTTGTGTTTGCAACCCATCGAACCTCGTGGCTTTTCCCAGCTGGCCAAAACTTTGGTAGATCAGGCACACTTGTGCCCCCTCCCGCTTCACGTGCGACCCATTCTGTGGCAGTATGATCAGGTACCTTTTGTTATTTTTTCCATACTTTTTGATTTTTTTCTCATCCTTCAAGCTCAATCTCTTCCTCTAAACCAGCTCTTGCTCTCACGGGTGGCACTTCCAAACCCCTTGGCATCTATTACAGAGTTTGAGCTTGTATCCAGTGCCAGAGTTGGTGGTTTTAGGGGACGACGGCGCGGGCTACGAAACCTTGTATCACGTAAGACATGAGGTTGAGGCCAGCAGTTTTTCTTTGTTCTTTTGAGTGCTCAGTGCTCATGTCTGGTGTCTGTTCAGGGCTGCCGCGTTGTGAATCCCAGTAGTTTTGCCAAAACTCGTTGCTTTGTCACCTATCATCCCGACCGCCTCCATCGCGACGACCCTGATGACCAAGATGAGCCATGCGTTGAGTTTTCGGATTTAGGTGTCATGGGTAACTAGTCCTTCCATGTCGGCGTGTCTCGTGAGGCCAGTCTAATAGGCAGGTTTTCACAGCTACATCGAAGTATGCGAGCGTGCGTGTTCCCGATCGTGTTTTTCCTGATCTTTTGTTCCGTTGCTGATGAAGCCATTTTGAGCTGAAGGCCCGTGATTTTGACAGAGCTTTATCTTTTAGATATCATGTAAATAAATTGACTCGTGCAGTGTCAAACTCGGGGTCAAGAGTGCGCGCATTGCCTCAAGCTCGGCTCGAGGCATCGGCCACATCAACACGAAACACCTCCTCTGTTGATCCATTGGGTGTGTTGAGAAATACGTGAACTCGCGTGCCTGGCACCGCTTCAGGCAGAATTTTGAACACAATGGAAGTCGTCTCTTTGGACGGAACACGAACAACCTACCGAAGGAGGCAGCGAATTCAATTAGCGGTAGGCCGAGTCTCGACCAGGGCAGGGCGAGGTGAAGGGGTAGCGTTGTGGGCCTACAAGCAAATGTCGCGCACCTTGTTTTTGAACTGAAGAAGGTCCGGTCGGTCGGTGTACAAGTGAAAGTCTTTGGCGTGTGAGGTTGTGTTGTCATATGTGATTCGACGCTGAAGTGGCCTGTCGTCTAGGAAAGATACTGCAAATGCCTGCACACGTGCACCAGAGTCAAAGTCAGATGCGAGCCGCCACAACGCTTTTCGGGGTTACAGGACGCGAGGAACGAGGGGGCGAAGGTGGCGAGCGCTTACTTTTGACACGACTGGTGCTCGGATGCGTAGCTGCAGAAGAAACATGTGTAGCAAGGTTCCCTGGTGGTGGTCTCGTAGGGCAAGTAGCACTCGTTCCTGTCGTTCAGTGGCCGTGATTACGACTGGATGCAGCGCCACCTTTAGTTCTGTCACGGCGTTGGCTACCAAGGCAAAGGGCGATGCCGGCTCCACGGACACATCTGCGGGTTGGGAAGAGTGACATGACGCCAAAGCACAGGGTCGGCTTGCACGGAGTATCAAGGTGGCTTGAGACAGCTCGCCGCACGTGATGTCAGCGTGAAAGGTTTCGACCGCCCGTAATTGAATCAGACGCGTCGCGATGGGGCGTACGCAGGCGTCATCTGCGTATAAAAAGACATAGCTATTGATGGTGCACGCGTTCGGCCCCACCGCACGCCGGTAAAAGACCGCAACGTGGTCCCCAATTGGACTGGGTTGCACGTGTACCGAGGCTTCCTCGTCTGCAGATACGACGCAGCAAGGCTCAACTCGCTCACCGGCCAAGGTTGCGGGCAAGGGCCAAGAAAATTGCTTGCGGAACATGCTGTTCTCCTCATGCACAAACGATTCGATATGCACAGCGGTTGGACGTGCAGGGTGCGCAAGCACGGCACACACGGCCACGGGATCTCCGCTATCAAGGCGGCATGCACTTAGTTCAGCCCGAATGGGTTCCCACTCAATGGCTGTCTGTTGCTGATCCGTGGAAAGCATGCCCATGGCCATGGGGTCACGGTACGCGTCCGGACCAAATACGGCAGGGGTTGTCGCCAGGGGTTGTGCGCGTCCTGCTGGATGAAGGTGGTGAAGCCGAAAGCCCACTGGGATTGTGACGCGCTCGTGCGGGTGTAGAAACAGCAATACCCTGCCATTGTTGACCTGCAAGAGGTCCCGTTCCAGCGGAGTACGACTTCCGTAGGCACGCAAGCAAGCCTGCCACTGCCGCGAATCCACCAGGGGAAAGAGCTGCTCGTCTGAGCTGCGCAACTCCACATTGAGTGGCTGTGCCGTAGGATTCGAAACCTCGAATTCAACGTAAGCCAGGCAGCCATACACAGCAGTCAGTTCGACCTCACAGCGAATGGAGTCGCGCAGTAGGCGCTCAATGGCCTCATGTTTGTGCTCTTGCCGTACTGCTTCCAGCGCAGCGAGGTTGTTGGCCAGCCCGGCCGCTGATGTGGGAGCCAAGTGCTCTCCGGCAGCTGGCGCTGGGGCGCCAGGCAAGCGATGACGCTGAAGAACATTGGCTAATTGAAGTCGCTTACGTTGGGCTTCCTGGTCAGAAGAAAGTAGGGCAAGCGCGGCTGGCATATTGGGGTGATTGTCAACCAAGCGTGGTGCCAAAGGCAGACGCGAACCCTCATGGGTCGAAGCCCGAGCAGCCGCGGCTGCAAAGCCGTGGTCTCGCTGTAGGATTGTGGCATCTCGGCCTGGAGTCGGTGCGCGACCAATCGAGGCGATGCGCAGGAACAAAGTGCCTTGCAGTTTTCGCGGGAGGAGCGCGGCAGGGCCACCACGATCTGTTGGGCCCAGAGGTGGGGGGAGACCCACGGCTAAGAGTTGGAGTTCAATCGGTGTCACTGTGCAGCGGCGGCCCTGACGTAGGAAAAAGCGAAGTGGCAGATAGCCTTGGCCGACTAGGGCATGTGAATCTGCATCGAAAACAAGAATGTCCAGGGTTTCGGAGGCCAAAAAGCGTGCCAACTGGACGCGATCCAGGTCAAGCAGGCTTGGTCGTAGCAGGTGGCGACACGCCCACCCGACTTCGGTGGGCACAGCGTGGCCCGTCCGAAGGACACCGCAGCGTCCAAACGCACTGTGGCTGTCATCTGCATGGGTGGATAGGTTGTCATCAATCAGAAGAGCCGGTGACTGAAGCAACGGGGCGCCAGGCCAAGCAAAAGTCACGTAAATCTGGCGGGGGCCTTCCCAGGCTCGTGCTGGGGCACCAGGCAAGCCCGAGGGAGGAAGTCGAGGCGCTTGGTGCTGGTAGGCTACCAAGTGTAGCCGCAAGTCTTCCATAGACAAGGGATCTTGTGACTCGAGACCTTCTTGCAGTGTACCCTTGGATATGGGCAGCGGCCCGTCTGCAAACTGACGGCGCATGTCCTCAAGTGTGGCTGCGTCGACAAGATTTAGTAAAGGCGTCGCCTGCAAATCTGCCAAAACACGACGGGGAAGATTGGGAAAGGGCAAGTCATCTGCAGCGGCTTCAAAGCGCGGCCGTGCCACAGGTTGGCCGGTAGGCAACACGGGTCGCAACTCAGCCACCGAGGCGCTGAGAGCCAGATCCCGACCCTCCAGTGCCGGTACATTCTCGTCAGGATGGCGCAGACGAGGTTTAGTCTGCAATGCTGAGCCTCGGGCTCGCGAGGCAAAGGGGGGCGAAGCAAGGGCTTCGTTCTCCTCATGATCATGTTCATGCAAGATGGGAATGGGTGAAGGATCACGCTCCTCGTCAAGTGTCAAACGAGGAACGGGGCGACCATCTTCCAGATGATGCTCTGCGGATGTTTCAAGCACAGATTCGAGTGGGGCACGTCCACGACTCGAGCGATTGATTGAGTCGCCTGGTCGACGACCCGTGGACTGACTAGCCGCAGACACTGGACGCTGTGGAGTGGCAAAGGGCTTCCGAAACTCGACTTGTTCGGCTTCGTCAACAATTGATTTGAGGCTGTTGGCCAGGGCCTGTTCCTCTGAAAACGGTTGCACTGTGCTTTGCTCCGGATGGGGTGGGGCGTGGGTTTTGGGTGTTCCGGGAGCGGCTGAAGTGGCTGCTTGGGAATTATCGACGACGCTGTGCTGAAGGTGGCGACTAACGGCACGACCCTAAACACATTGACATTGAATGCATAATCAACGGCAGTGCTATAAGATTTGTGCAGAGAGAGAGAGAGAGAGAGAGAGAGAGAGAGAGAGAGAGAGAGAGAGAGAGA